TGTGTTACATATCATTTGAAAGGTCTACTTGAATACAATAATGTCTACTATGGCGCTTGCCCTGATACGTTGTCGAAACAGAGTTATATAATAAATAATAAAAAAAAGTTTTTTCTTTTTAAATTGTTATACATTTTAGTATTAACATTATTTTAGCAGTGTTGTAAGTATTAACAATAGGCATTAGGTTATACCGTTGATATCTGCAATAGTTTAAAAAAAACTGTATTGCAGATACCAGTGCCTTCCGACTTAGTAACAATACAACCTCGTGTGAACTATTTAATATTTATCTTTAACGAGAACGTTAATAAAAGAAAATGGTAAAAAACATAATGAAAAAAAAAACAATTACTAGCTTGTTATCTTGAACGGTAACCATAGGCGTATATAGAAGGGGGGGCCGAGTGGGCCGTGCCCACCCCAGGACGGTTTTGTGCCCATCCCAGGATGTTGGACTACCAAATCGAAATTCTATAATACTAATCACTAACTTCAGACGACTCTTCAATGTCAGGGCCCAGCTCCCCCCTGAAAAATAACCCTAGACACGCCAATGACGGTAAAACTTAATAAAAAACTTTTTTACCGAAAATAAAAATAACAAAATAGAAAAGTTTTTTTTTTGTTTTTATTCATTTAATTTTTTATGTATGCAGTTATCCAGAGGCAGAGTGAAAGAAACATTTTTGAGTAATTACTTTATTCATTATCTATAATAAGAATGTCATTTAGGAACAGTGCAGGAGCGACGAATCCGGCGTGCCTGGCATAGCTTAGGTACCATATAATGGATAATATGTGAGCACAAGTTCCTATGGTACGTCTACCAATTAGACATGTACAATAATGTTGAATTATATTATTATAATTCATTATATAATTAATTATTCAATTGTATTAGTCAATTATATTGACGACCTCCTTGGTCGAGTGGTTTGTACGCCGGGTTTCATGGTGTCGCCGACTCGAGAGGTCCCGGGTTCGAATCCCGGTGGGGGCAGATGTTTGTGTGATGAATACAAGCATTTGTACTCCAGTCACGGATGTTTAATATGTATTTCTATATAAATATATTTATATATGTACAGTATATGTATTCTATGCGTTACCCTAGCATCCCATAACAGAAGCCTTATAGTGCTTACTTTGGGGCTAGGCTAATAATTGGTGTGAGGAAATATTATAAGAAAGAAGATCAGAGAAAGATATAAGAAGGAACGAACGTAGTCTCACGCGCAGTACTAACGATCGACTAATGCGCCCGCGCGCCCCAGCGGCCACGCCCCAGCGGCCACGCGCCAGCGCCTTCTGTCTACCTGCCTAAATACGGGCGGGAGAGGAGATGGCATCCCGCATTCAACTCTGTACTTGATTCAGTGACTCGATTTCCCTTTTCGGTTCTGTAATAATAAATAATGGTAATAACGATTCATGCAAAAATGGTTCTGGTATTTTCTGGAAAAACTAAAAACGGACAACAAATATCAGAATGCCGCCATAGTAAATAATATTCTACATGAAAAGAGGAATTCAATGATATATCACTCATCGCTATTGATACCAAACACCAATTGGATACCAAAATGCCCGTCCTCCTTTAAAGTATGGTTTAGATTAGATTTATAAAACAAGCAATTCATGCTTAGAAGAGAAATATAATAAGTGTTTCGGATTAGATTCTTTTAAATACTATAGACGATGAAAATTTCCAAATCCAGCAGTACAAGGTATCTTAAAAAATTGTTGACGGTATCGTATAAAAAACCTACTTTTAGTAGGTACGCTTGTTAACTGATTTTTTATCAGGTGATATAATAATGTGTGTCTGATTTTAACTTTTTTAATATTATTTTAGTTTTCTTTTTATTTATTGAACAATCAGTTTATGATTGGTATTGAAATATAATAAGTGTAAAGTTTCTAGTAAAAATTGTATCTCGATTAGATTCTTTTAAACTCTGAATACAATAAAAATAACCACATCCAGCAGTATAAGATACCTTAAAAAAATGTTGACGTTATCATGTAAAAAACCTACTTTTAGTAGGTATACTTGTAAACAGTTTCATTCCCTCAGCTTTTCAAAGTAGATTGAAAATTGCTCAATGTGGAATTTTTTTATTGAATTTTAATAAAAAACTTATATTTAATAAAAAATACTTTTATTTTTTTCTCTGACGCTACTCGGTAGTGACGTCGAGTACTGGTCGCGTGATTGGTCGGTAGCGCAGTGACGCGGATCTTGCCGTCCCGTTCGCGCTGCCGTTGAAACTTATATTGCTGTTTCGTTCGTTCGATTGTATCTTTACAAACAGGTGGATGTGTGAGTGTTGCATATGTAGTAAAGTGGGATCAGTTTTTGTTTGATGCAAGTAAGAGCGTACCGTATCTACCCTTTTTGTTTTAATCTAAGCTCGCAGCAGGGTAAAAACTCCCCTCCCCGGCGAGGCCGGGAAGCTGCTGGGTGCGGAGTCGTGGTAGAATCCCTAACGGGGACCCCGCGGCTTCGCATTAAGCAGTGTAGAAGGTATTCGCAGGACTTTTTTAGCGGATATTATGCTGTAAAGCGCCTGTAAGAGTTGCGGGGTCCACGGTGGTCAGCTACTGGGGGAGTCCGTAAGACTTGCGGGAGCCAGGTGTGAGGTCCGTTCGGCGGTGTGCCCCTTAAAGCGCCGTCGTCTGTAAAAACATTTTTTACCTGCGTTATAAAAAATAAAATAAAAGGGTAAATACTCCCCTGAGTTTGCTCAGGGGAGTATTTACCATGTTCGGCAGTGGGGTGGTGCTTGTTGGAACATGTGTCAAAATGGTACATTTCTGGTGAGTTTGAGTTATGGGTGCTTGATTGATGATTGTGGGACGGAATTGAACCATTCGAAGGCCAAGCAGTTTTCCCATCCCTGTCTTACGCTCTGCCTAGTATCGGCCTAAATTCTGGCTTGTTATTGCAATACGTCACATCATAGAAGGAACTTGAAACACAACGACACATTCCGTTACTGAGCGAGCAAAGTTCATTTGATTCATACGGTTTGTTGATAAAATTACGCCCGTCCGGTGTTAACGAACTGAACATGACGTGTGGTTTGAACTTTGCAGGAATTTAGTAAGAAAGAGGTAATTGAATTACGGGTATAATGTATTGAAAATGGTATTAATATATGTTTGTTTCTAAGAGAAACATAGCCATTGTGCTTTAAAGTTAGTTATGCTGGTCTGCCATACCACAGTACAATTTTTCTTGCCTTGGTATGAGTAAACGTTTTCATTTCGCTTTTTTACCGAGGTCCCACCGCTGTGCCCCATTGGAGGGTCAAAATAGTAGTTTCTTTCAACGCTGAAACCCGCACAAAGAAAGATATTGGTGTGAGCTAGTCAAGTTATTAGGTTAGTTAGGTTATCTTTATGAAAAGATCAATTAAAGGTCAATACGTAAACGGATAAAGAGGGTAATCCATTCAATTAGAGTATTTACTCGTACAATGGCCCTGAGGCCCCGATTCATGTTCCGGATTATGGATCAACGATGGCTGATCAGACTAGGTCGTTGAACGATTATTTGATATTGACACTTAATACCGATAATCCATTCAATTTGAGTATTTACTCGTACAATAGCCCTGATGCCTCGATTTATGTTTCGGATTATGGATCAACGATGGCTGATCAGACTAGGTCGTTGAACGATTTCCGTGTGCTGTTTGCTGGTCTGCCATCGGACGCGTCCCCCGGGTGGTGGATAGGGGCACGGCCACAGATATGGAGGTTACCGGTTTCGGCCGGCGCGGACCAAAACCAGCAAACCAGCGGGGACGGGTCTCCTTTCACGGCCAGAAGGGAACGGGCCCTTATCAGGGCCAAGGGAGGGTTGGATCCTGATGGAGACGACGACCTAAGTTGCCGCACAGGGGAGCCATGCGAAGGCGGCGCCCGGACGGACGCCCTCAGAGGAGGGGATGTCCGAGTAGCCTCGGCCGCTCGGACCCCCCCCACCAATGCTGTCACCCGCGGTTCCCCCCCTTCTCCTAGGATAAGACGCGAGGAGACGTGGGCGACCGGGAGGGGGGAAAAGGACGGGAAGAACTACGCTTCCCCTCCCGTTCCCCACACTTGTAGTTCTGCCCTACAAAGGGGAATCCCTAACGGGGACCCCGCGGCTTCGCACTAAGCAGTGTAGGTGGTATTTGCAGGACTTTTTTAGCGGTTATTATGTTGTAAAGCGCCCGTAAGAGTTGCGGGGTCCTCGGTGGGTAGCCACTGAGGGGTCCGTAAGACTTGCGGGAGGCGGGAAAATAATATTTTACCTGCGTTATAAAAAAAAGGGGAGCCATGCGACGATGTGGCCTCGCCTTAAAACTGGAAACCGGCGCCCTTGCCGTCCGGGGCGCGGCAGACCGGGCTGGACTACGACCCCTTAGCCTTGGGGGGTTGAGAATACAGCAGGCGGTGTAAGCCCACATCCGATCAGCCATGGTGCCATGTTATTTTATATTGTCACTTAGTACCAATCACATTATATTTATTATTCATTATCATTGCTATTTCTGTTAAATGAGTTTCTTGGGCCCATTTTTCTCATCGGCTAAAAATAAGTTGATTTAAATAAAGTATAATGTTATTTCATTGTTATACCGGCATGTATGGCATCGCCGTCTTTAAAGTCTAACATCAACTTCTAACGATTTGTCATTTTTTTAATAATACAATCATATTGGAAGTCCTTCGGATTGAAATTCAATATCGTTTATTCAGTCTAGGCTGATACGAGCACTTGTGAATGTCGAAAAGCTACGCAATCGGTTCGCAAATTTATGGCGGGAGACCTTGTATTGAGAACAACCGACAAGAAACTCGGCAAAGGCTGTTTGTTTCTCCGTGTTTTAAATACAGAGTCGTCAAATTAAACAATGACTTTAAAAATGTAAATGATATAAAAATATAAATAATAAGGCTATGTTGTTTTAGATTAATTTATAAAAATATTTTTATTGTTTCAGTTACTATATTCGTTTTGCGGGTGCTTGCTGGTGTCTTTATTAGTAGTATTCTTCTATTACTACAGGAGATGGCGATCAAAAGGTGAGTTAAACTAATTGTAGGTATATTTCGTCATAAGAGTCTCTAGATTCTTAAAATCTGTATCTATAGAACTTAGAGTATGTATTCACAAGGTATTTGAAAAAGTTGACACCAAAAATAGTAACAAAAGATCTTAGATAGGTAAAGTACCGACGCCAAAAGACATGGGAAAACTAATTTTCTCCTAATAAAGAATACTGCAGAGACAGTTAGCCCGTGGAGAGTAATATCGCCAGAACACTTATGAAATGAGTTAAGTGTAGACTTAGGTAACTTCTTAGCATCAGAATGGCCCAAAAAATTAAACTATAGTAGAAAATATGCTTTCATTGCCACGACACACGAGTCTGGATGGCAGTAGCACATATTTATTAATGTTTCTATTTTGTAGAGCAGGTTCTTGCAGAAGAGAATTAAGAAAACTTTTTTGTTCGTAAGAACCTGCTACGCAACAGCGCATAAATAAAAAAAATCAAGATAATTCGAAACCCTCTCCAATAGGTATTGCAGTTGGGTATTAGGCCATTTTTATACGTCTTTGTTTGGTGTCTGCTAGTTCGCTTATTATTCGCTTATCAGGTTTTTCATAGGCACTAATTTCTTTGTTACAAACATCGACGGATAAAGCTCAGAATTCTGCGGTTAAGGGACAATAAAATCACAAGTCGTTGTGATTCCATTTTTGATGATGATCATCATTTAAAAATACCATTATATTTTTTTATGTTTTTAATCCGACTTTAATGTTTTGTATTTAAAATATTAGTTTCTTATTAATAGCAAAAAATAAAAAAGTAAGCGAGACTGTTTTACTCTTGCAAAATACACAGACTATGTCAACTATTATACTGTAGGTAGCGTGTTGGGATGGGGTTCGAAATTATTCAAGAAAAAAAAACTGTCTCCAGTGTTTTCGCGGTTTTGGTTCGAGATTGTTTGTAACAATACTATGATACTATGAAATAATTCTAAAAAAACTACAGCCAAGGCGCGGTGATTAACACAATTTACATTAATTTTAACACCTTATCCTATGTTGCAATCTGGCCGTGTATGTTTTCCTGTAGGGTAGTATGGATCCCATGGTCTTCTGAACAAATCGAACATTGAAAATGTTAACTAAGTATCTACCTGAATATCACTTTGTATTTTTTTGTTCAAAGAACTGGCGGGAGGTTTAGTCACAGGCGCCTCAAACGAACCAGCAAAAAGGTTCAGAAAAAGAGACAAAATGTTGTTCTATGGGCGAAGAATGCTTCGAAAAGTCAAATCTATCTCAAATTCCGGTCAGGGCAGAAAGAGACGAGCGGTGATGAGATTCGCCAGAAAATTGCTGCAATTGAAAAAGGAGTCTGCGCCTGAGCAACTTAAGGTACGTTTTTGCTTTTTCAATTTTTTAATTGACTTTTAGGGGTTCGTATCGTACCTATTTCAAAAAGAACTGTCGTCCAACAACATTTTCATAAGGAACGCGTGGAAATTAATATGAAGGAGTATTTAACTTAGTTATTTATGCATTTATTTCACTAGTTTTTATTTTTGTATATGAAGTGCAAGGCAACAATACTAGTCTATGGTTTAGGTCTCCTAGTTCAGGGTGATTTATAATAATAATAATAATTGTTTATTCCAGGCATAAAAAACCCAATAAAAAGTCATATACAAAATTAAAAAAAAGTAAAAGTGTAAACAAAATAATAATAAAAAATAAAATAAACCATAAAAGTATAAAAGAACAGTAAAAGTAAAAGAGGTATAATATTACCTACGTCATTTTCGGTTCTCACTCTGGTGCACTGAAATCCAGTATTTGAATAAAGGATTATCAAGTCCTTTGCATACAGTTTTGATTATGCTGTTATTAGAAAGACATATTCGTGACCAAAAAGAGGCTATACGTCTTCTCATAACAGCATAAAAGTGTGATATACGAGCATCTGAAAACATGCCCGACGCGCTACAGTATCTCGGTAGTCTCATAAGAATACGAAAAGCATCATTCTATTGCACTCTTATGGAACGGTATGAGCTACGATTAAAATCATTTATGTGTTAATATCATTTTCATGTAGTTACTAGAAATAAGTAAGCTACTTATTATTGTAAGCTTTTAAAAATATTGTGAACTATTTTTAGGGTGTAAATAAATACTAATATTTTAGCATTTAGCTGCTCGATGTTTCATAAATCTAAAGAACATTTTACTACAAAAATTCTCTATTCAGTCGTTTCAGACGGGATAATTATGACTATAACTGCGGCTTATATAAAGTAAGAAATCAAACTTCCAAGGCGATTTAATTAAACGATAATTATTGCATTCAGGGCTTTAAACCTATTGGGTACTTCCTAATGACCTAGAATCGTGCAATTTGTTGTTTGTTATGCTAGGCAAAAATAACCGAGACTCTGTTCGTGAAATGGTCCAACTATCTACGTCCAAATTGTACGGAACCCTCGTAAAGCGAGACAGATTTGCATTGTTTTGTTTTTTTGAACGCTCGCGCTGCGTTCGTCGGCACGCCCGCCACTGTGGTTCAATCTATTCTTGTTTTTGTTGTTATTGTGCCTCTGATACGAGCAAACCTGTTTGTTGATTTATTTATAGCATATTTCTGAAACGTCACCGTGACGCGTTTTATGCGCATGAGTGATTGATATTCGCACGAGTTTTCTGGTCAAGGATAGCTTATGATGATAACAAGTTTCGTACATTTGCTAGGTAGTAGTAAATTTTTGCTATTACTTAATCGTTACGTTTATGATAACTTGAAGTTTACTGCATAGTAAAAGTAACGGTTTCTTACAAAATTCTTTTCGTCCGTTCACCTTGAAGGATTTTTGTTTGCTAATACTATAATTACTTTTGGGATCTTGTTTAGAGAAATATTACTATTGGAACTCCACGAAGTTGGAAATAGACTACGCACTAGTGATTCTGGTATCAATAGCGTGTTTATAGTGACTGCTAACCTTCACACGGGCCATAATTTATTTCTTTAATCTCATTTATTTAGAGGAACTTATATAAAGGATATGCCAGCCCCATCAAATCCTAACATTTAAATAACAAAATTATTATAAAACTACGAAGATACATTGTTGCAAAAAATATATATAAGGCTTTTAAATACTTCCGACTGCGGATGTGCCAATATGGTTGCGAATATCCCTACACCGAACACGTTTATATTATGTTTTTGCAATAATGACACTGTCTTTTGTTATACTTAGTAAGTACACTTTACAAGCATGTGCTGAAAATTGGCTATTTTCCGCTAAATGTGGGAAATTGTAGTCTTAGACACATTCAGGCCAAGTAATCGATTAAAGTCGGTCACCTACAACATTTTTTGAAAGTGGAAATTCCTTCCCTAGTCGGGCGCTCCATTTTATAATTTAGTTGGTTCATGATAACTGTAAAAACATATTATTCTCGTAGAATAAGTATTTTAATCGATAATCTGACCGGAATTGGACTAAGACTACAATTTCCCTCATTTTAGTTAAAATGGCAAATTATTGAAATTAATTTCAAAATTTATTGGTCCATCATTAGTCTTGAAGTTGCATGCATATTGTAGATAATTTTGTCTATTTTAAAATGTAGAAAGTAGCGATTATAACTTTTGGAAGGTAGGATAGATCTTCCCAAAAAAAAACAAAAATTTCGAGGTTTTGGGGGGCATCACGCAGGTAGCACAGCCCTTTCGTAGCTGCAAATTTGTTTTTACATTATTGGTAACTATCTTAACAACATACCAAAAAAATCACCAAAGTTCAATTTATTACAACCTACGATATCTTATAAGACTGGCCTAATATTAATGTCCTCACGGCTGAGGCATAGCCATGGATGGAAAAGGGAGAACGTGCCATGGACGGATTATTGGATGAACGTACCTTCTGAGGTTGCGTTCGTGATAGTAAATTTCTGGTCACTCATTAAATTACCGGCCATTGCGAAAGTTTCTTAACACCACGATCGCACACAGAAGGCGCTTACGACTGGGCCATTGAGTTCCTCAAATAGGTACTTTTTTCATATAATTTGTAATGAATCAGTAATAAAAATAAACTATTTTTGTCATAATTCCCAGGGGGTGGGGTGGGTGGTGGGGTGTTGCGTAGTTGATTCTCAACAGCGTGGTTGATTCCCAACAAGGAGCCCACGTCGTCGTCCCCGGCAAGGAGAGGGCACATCCCCGATCCCAGAGCGCCCTCATAAGGGCCGAGGAGGGTACCGGTGGTTTTTAGTGGGTAGGACCGGCGTTGTTCCGCGCCGGTGAGTCCCACACACGTCGCGCGCCTGGCAAGCGCGCGGTGCGTAAATGCATTTTCCACCGTCAACAAAAAAAAAGGTATGCCCCCCCATCCCGAACAGCCTTAGGGTTGGCTGAATGGGTGGGAGGTGGGGGGAAGAGTCTCACAACCTCGTCGCCTTAAGCGTCACCGTATTCTCCGGGTTAAAAAAAAGGGGCGAGTTCGCAATATTTTGTGGTTCTGGGCGCCAGATTTTAATACACGCTCTTGCCTATAGTTACCTCGCTTGCTGGTAACTTCACAACCGTCCTAAAATTATAAATTTTCTTCACAGGTGCTGGAACCTCCCGCTGAATACTTGGAAGAGGATCTCACAAGCGATGACCGAGTGCCTCCGGACGCTCTGTACATGCTGCACAGCATCAGGGTGTTCGGCCACTTCGAGAAGCCGGTGTTCCTGATGCTGTGCAAGCATACAGAGATCCTGAACCTAGCAGCTGGCTCGTTCTTGTTCAAAGTCGGTAAGTTGAACTGGTTCTTTATGCCTCTCATCTGTGAGCTATGTTACATGAACTAATATTTCTTGTTTGACTGGATTCAGCCAGTTCATAGAAAGTATTAGAGATGTCTTTGGCTAAATGAAATCTTGGCGGAAGCTATCGCGATAAATTTTTTATTAACTTTTTGTGCATTAGAGCGAACGAAACTAAAGCAGTTACTCCGAATAGGTCGATACTCAATATCTATGTTGTCCGAACAATTAATTTAGATTTGAAAACAGTCTAGAAATTCGATAAATTGTAGATCGATTTATTTCAATCCAATCACACAATCTATCTATTATATAAAGAGAGAAAAGGATATACTGACAGACTGATTCATCAACGCACAGCCGAAACGGCTGGACCTAGAATGATAAAATTTAGACAAAAGGTTCCTATTATTGTATAGACAAGCAATAAGATGGTATTTTTTGAAATTCAGCCTCTTAAGCGTGAAATTTCGTCATTGACTGCAAATTTTGCATAAACATTATATAATACATGTATACTAAGCCTGCTGCATTAAAATTTTACAGCTACCCTCAAAAAAGTGCATAGGATTGATTAAAAATATTATCTCTCACATTTAAACAACTCCCATCCCTATTCTATTAAAAAAAACTAGTAAAATTTACTCTGCATATATGTATACTAAAATATATACATACTTCTATATTATGTTTATTTTTCGTTATCGTAATTGGCCTTGGACTCGAGGTTACTTGACAAAACAAATTTAAGGTTATTGTCAGTGTTAAGATGTTGATATTTTTCTTATGCTGTATTAGAATAAAAAGGTTTGACGTTGTACATGTTTTTTTCACTACTGCCCCAAAAAAAGAGTGTAATGTTCCAAGGTTCATATATTATAATATGAGGAGCTGGCGAACAAAACGGTATAATTTCGCATCTGGTAAAACTATTTTCTTTTTACAGTCCGGAGGTTTTGGGCCCGTTGAATTTGAATTTCAACTCGTTTTCAATCAAAATCGCCTAAAACAATAAATAAAAAACTACGCCAAAAGCTCACTGTAGGTATAATAATAATAATATTTCCAACAATCACACCAATTAGCCTAGCCCTAAAGTAAGCACTGGAAGGCTTGTGTTATGGGATACTAGGGTAACGGATAGAATACATATACTGTACATATATAAGTATACTTATATAGAAATATATATATTAAACATCCATGACTGGAGTATAAATGCTCGTATTCATCACACAAACATCTGCTCCCACCGGGATTCGAACCTGGGACCTCTCGAGTCGAGGACAGGCATGAAACCTGGCGTACAAACCACTCGGCCACGGAGGTCGTCATACAGCTTTTTACAGCTCCTGTAAAAAATATTTTATGTAATAATACCGTTTTGTTCGTCAGCTCCTCATTTGTTAGTTTTTCTATTACGTATTTAATTAGGTATTGTTAGAATTTTTATTTTATGTTCTTTTAGTTGGCTGTCCGTCTAGAATTCATACATTATTTTGCTTTCAGCACTTGTGCAAATAAATAACAGATGAATGTGTTACATGGTAACATTTTTCATAGTTAGTTGTTATAATGAGTACATAAAAAATGTAGGCTTAGGTTAAACATTAAAATATGTCCTGAAAACAAACTCCATCAACAAAATTTTACAAAAAAAATGTTGTTTTACTTTTTTGCAGCTCTCGTGGTTAATTGATAATCTCCTTAGTCTTAAAATATATATTTGATTCTATTTATTCAGGTTCTCTTATATATGTTAGCTATGGATAACATAATTGATGAGAATTCATTTCCCATGTAAAACCCTTTACCACTATGAAATTAAATTTGTACACCAAAAAAGTTTCAAAATAAGGATAATCCAAATCAGCACAGTAATTTTCACAAAATTCTTAAATGTTACAAACTTAAAATTTAACGTAATTTAAATACACATCATCATTCCGCAAGTGAGCCTTGAAATCAAAAAAGTTGTAAGCAAAAAAAAGTAGTTTAAAAGTTCATTAATTAAAATGCTAATGGACATTTCATAGGTGACACTGACGAGAACGTATACGTGGTGCAAAACGGTCGCGTTAATGTATACATCACCAACCAGGACGGCAGCAGCCTGTCCCTGAAGATAGTGCGCGCCGGGGAAAGCGTGACGTCACTGCTCAGCTTCACCGATGTGCTCACGGTCTGTATACCACGCAGGGTTACAGCCATCCCATGGTCAGCCAGTGTTAGAGAACATATACGTCACCAACCAGGACGGCAGCAGCGTGTCCCTGAAGATAGTGCGCGCTGGGGAGAGCGTGACGTCACTGCTCAGCTTCACCGATGTGCTCACGGTCTGTATACCACGCAGGGTTACAGCCATCCCATGGTCAGCTAATGTTAGAGAACATATAGAACATATACGTCACCAACCAGGACGGCAGCAGCCTGTCCCTGAAGATAGTGCGCGCCGGGGAGAGTGTGACGTCACTGCTCAGCTTCACCGATGTGCTCACGGTCTGTATACCACCCAGGCTTACAGCCATGCAATGGTCAGCTAGTTTTAGAGAACGTATACATCACCAACCAGGACGGCAGCAGCCTGTCCCTGAAGATAGTGAGCGCTGGGGAGAGCGTGACGTCACTGCTCAGCTGCATCGATGTGCTCACGGTCTGTATACCACGTAGGGTTATAGCCTTCCAATGGTGAACCAGGGGCGGTCCAAAGCCCAGCTTGGTCCTATCCAGTACGCATCCATCTGCTAGCCATATTCACTAATGAACTTCAAAAGTGCTACTCTTAAACGTTTACACTTTATAGACTTCGATAGTGTTTATTTATTACATTTATAAAAGAAAATAATACTTTGGTAGCCAAGTGATAAAGGTTACGGTTCGGATTTGTAGAATCTAATGGCCAGATTACATTTGGTCGTTAGCCCGAATACGAGTGCCAATGGAATTCGGGCAAATGAACGGAGTTGAGTACGCCCGTATTAGTGTAGATTTATTTCACGATAATTTTTTTTGTTTACCTAACACCGTCTTCCAGCTGGAACTCCAGTGTAAATATTTCTTCAAAAAAATTGCGCCATAAGTCAAAGCAATCACTAGATTTTAAGTTATTACACGTGCAACCACTTTTATATTATGCTTACACGAAATTCAATGAAGTAAAAAACTCAATAGAATTTCTTATTTTATTAACTGATCTCTAGAAAGAGGATGTTCTCAATTCGTCATTATATATTTTTTTATTGTTGTTCGTGCATATCTCCGAGATTGGTGGACCGATTTTGATAATATTTTGAAATTTTTTCGAGATGGTCCCATATTAAATTGGTGAAGATCTGATAAATACTTTTGGAAACAAACAACGGAACTCCTCAAATACGAAGAGGCACCGACTCCAAAAGTTAATTTCATTTATATGTAGATAATACCTATACCTAAAGAATATGAATTATTTCTCTTAACTTACTGTTAGTGCCTGAGCTTAGTGGATGTTAAAATAATAAAGTTGTTACCGAAAATAATTACGTGTTTATTGTTTGTTCACAAAATGTTCTTAAAATACTATAATAATGTATGTTAATGAGTGCGTTCGCTTATGCATCGAAATCTACACTAATTTATATTTGCACCGCGGCTAATGACCTAAATTAGGCCAGGCGCCGTGACGGTGTTAAGTATTGCAAAATAATTAATAAGCAAAATATAAATGTTCGGTTATGCACCGAACATTTATAACAACATTTTTAGTGGTTTTGTTTTTATGAAGTCGATTTTTAATTAATAATTTATTTTTGTTAATAAAGTTTTTTGTTATATACTATGATTATAAAATTATTTTCACGCGAAGTGATTTTCACTTGAATAATAGCTTTGACTTGTCTATTGAGAAGAATTTACGAACCCATCCATTCGTCAAAAAGCATAATACAATATAGAAAATAATTTCTTTTGCAGGGACACTCTCAACCGTACAAGACTGTGAACGCCAAAGCTTTAGAAGACTCTCAAGTGATAAAACTGCCGATGAGAGCGTTCCAAGAGGTGTTCAAGGAATACCCTGACATATTTGTTAGAGTAATACAGGTCAGTTTTCTGTGCTCTGATGATGATTCGAAACTCCATCGCCTCTGCAGTTTTGATATCATAGTTCTAAATATTTTCAACAAGATGACGCATCTTTGAGTGTCATAAATTATTCTATCCCTATTTATATAACCATGACTCGACAGTAAATCTCATAAATATACTACCGGATGTCGAACCCAGAACCTTTGAAGCAGAAAAGAGGGGCGCAGTTGCACCAACCGGTGCATCATCAGTAAGGAGAAAAGTGAATAAATATTTTTTAAGTCAGGAACTGGACATATCATCTTGAAGCCAGTTTCACAATCAATAATCATAAATTTAATTTCTATCAATGTTATTTATTTTGTTGTGACTCGATACAAATGAATCATGTTTCACCTTGAACCTGGATAGCCTCAAACGAGTGTTCGAGAAAACTGGAAGTTATGAGATAATGCTTCGATTTCACGACAGTAATTTGTTTACTATTATTGTATGTGCTATGCTGACATTTTGCACTTTACATATGGTAAATTACAATATACCATTAAGTTGTGTTATCACTGTATTAGTCATTTACGCTCATAATAAAAATAGTTTTAATTAAGTTTATGAATTTTACAAATCATTTGGTATAATAATGTTATCTATTACAATTAATCGCGTAATCTATTATTTCTTTTAACGTTTTTTTTAAAGAGTATATATATTCTCATTATGTATTGGTAATGAGTTCTCTTTATATTAAGAGGAGCTTGATGGTGCAAGTGGTTACCGCGTTCGACAGCGTTCGTTGAAGTTATGCAACTTTCTCCGTGGTCGGTCATTGGATGGGTGACCAAAAATTTACAACTAGAGTTTCTCTGTGTCTCGGAAGGCACGTTAAGCCGTTGGTCCCGGCTGCATCTGCAGTAGTTAGCACCCACCAATCCGTACTGGGCCTGTGTGGTCTCTCTATTCCTCCCTTAAGGAAGGCCTGTGCCCCAGCCCCAAGAAAATAAAGTGCTCTTGCATAATTGTCGGTCGTTTTTATGAAAAATGTTTGTATAATATTTGTTGTTTTTGCACCGAGCGCAAAGTGAGTTATTAATGCCCCGTGCATTAGTTATCTTGCTGCCAGAGTGCATAAATTACTCACGTTAGCAAGGTGCGTAATCTACATTCTATTTAACAAAGTTTAATAAAGTTAATGCAATACCAATTATATAATCGGAACTATCGTTATTTAGTTTTTTTTTTCAATTACTTTTAATGCTGTAAGTAAACTCCATCTTTTTGGATAACTCACATTATGGGTAACTACAACGTCGAATGAGATGCATTTTTTTTGTTACAGATCATTATGGTGCGCTTACAAAGGGTCACGTTTACAGCTCTCCATCAATATCTCGGTTTAAGTGCTGAGTTAGTGAATCCGGTAAGTTATTACGCTGTCTAAAGATTCTTTATTTTGCAAATCAGATTTGGTTAGATAGATTTCCTTTTTTTTTATTAGCTCTAAGTTGCTAGCTTAGGGGCATATTAATATGCCGTATCGCAGTATCAGCGGTACAACCTGGGGTTTTGCGATCCAAGTATCATGATAATATTGATCAGTGTAAGATATCCCATTAAGTTTATCGGTCATCTTGATTGCCATTCTTTTGAGGTATACATATAAGATTTATGGGAATCGACTTTTAATGATAGTGTGTATGTAATGTTTTAAGTATGAACATTATCGAGAACCTTCCGTCAAAGGCATAGTAGTTTCTAATGATATATTTTATTTATGTCTAACTAGCTGACCCGGAGAATTTCGTGTCGCCGAACAGTCGATGAATGTGGTTAATTTGAGGATAAAGTTATAGAGAGTCCGGCTCGTATTACAGAATCAGAACTAAGTGTTGATCTGTACAGTTAGGAAGGGATGTCGCTTTGTATAGCACATAGCGACATCCCTTTCTAACTGTACTCAAGTAAAGATCAACACTTAGTTCTGATTCTGTAATACGAGCCTCAAACTTTAAAGATAGACATATGCTGTCGCGGTCTTTATAACACTTTTAGAGGGCAACAATTCTATAATAATACTAGCTGACCCAGCGTACTTCGTACCGCCATAAAAATAGGGGCAAGTGGTAGAAGAGAAATTATAAGGTTGTATGTATTTTTTAAAACCACATTATTAAAAAAATATTTTCCAACCAAAAATTTAGGGTTGTGTAACATAGTGTTCTATCAATTTCCTGGGATAACATTCCTCCTAACCCATATGAGAACACTACGTTACAATACCGAATAGTTGGAATTTTGGCGCGAAGGCGCTTTATAGGTTCCAGAACACTACGTTGCAGGTGGACAACCATTATCACTTAAGGATATGAAATATAGATAGTAGCTGATTCTCAGACCCACGGAATGTGCATATAAAATTTCATAAAAATCGGTCAGGCCGTTTCGGAGGACTATGGTAACTAACATTGTGACACGAGAATTTTGTATATAAGATAATAACAAAAATAATTTTTCAAGCGCATAGCGCGTTCAACCAAACAATCAAACAAACAAACTCCTCAACTTTATAATATTAGTATAGATATTTTAGACCAAAGTTTTTCTTTTCCTCAAATAAGTTTAATGTCTAATGTTTTTGTCCTTCCTCCTTGGTACATTTAGGGTCGCGACAAACGTCGTCCGACGACGGTGGCGTCGTCCCCGTGCCGGCCGGGCCGCGTGTCCGTGCCGGACAACGTGCATTCCCCGCATCACACGGAACGGACGATGTCTGAACATGGGGTGAGTTACTTTGTATCTTAGAGCTAGCGCACATTGAACAACTATTTTTCCTGTTGCCTGTAATACAGGTTATCCTACCACTGGCAACAGAAGTCACCTTTAACAATATTTAAGCTCAAATGTGCCTATTGTCACCAATTTATGTCTTATAATTTAAAAATATTGTATATTGTAACTTGCTTAAAGTCAATAAACGTTTATAATTGGCGGCCACTAAACGCTGCCACTAGTGGCTCAGACAAGCCAGGTGTGACCGACTTGATCAGACCCAACATCTACTATTTAATGTCGCAACCCTGTGTGATCTACCAATAACATAATTCTTGAAATCTTAAATGAAACAGCACAGTTCTGTACACAATTATGTAGTTTTTTGTTATTTTATTCAGAGGGCAAACATAAAACTAATTATTAGCCTTAGTAACTACATATTTTTATAACTGTGCAGAGTACAGAGCGCAGTCGTTATTACATGTTATCCATTTGAAATGTATCTGCAAATTTTGTAGCCATAGATATCGCTATAGAAGTGAGGATCAAGAAGATGCGTGCAGCAGTTGGTTATTACGATGCGCAGTCTGTTCTACTTATTTATATTTTTTGCCTTGCCACGATGACTAATACTAACTTATAGTCGCGATCCTTCCTGTCAATCGCGATCGACTGGTTGGCCACCCTTGCACTAGACGCAGACACCGATCGCCGCCGCTAGTGATTTCGTGGCGGCTACTCGAACGCTTAATTTGCGCTGATACTATACAAAATGTATGAAAAAAACGAGTGTGCTTATCTGACCACACGACTGAAGTGAAACTTCTTTAGCTCCATCTGTATGTATATATACATATATATATGTGTACAATATATGTATGCACATATACATATTTCATTTACTAGCTATAAGAGAAAGAGAGAAAGAAAATGTGCGCGCGCACTGCTTTCTCTTGCTTATATCCCCCACTCAACTCCGGTTCGCCTCGCCCGAATGTACTCTTCGTAACGCGTAATGCATTCGCCAGCATACCTCCCAAGTCAAGCCTGCGTAAAGTAATTTCACTTCAAAAATCTCGGCCGCCGCTTGTGGATGCGTTTAGTGGCCGTCACTGTGGCTCAATGTGCAGTTGCTCATATATGATTTTATGAAGGAATCAATGAATGTAACTATCTTATAAAACTGACATTTTGTAATATAAAATAAAGTTAATTACTGTTTCAATTCAAGCCCAATAAATTGATTATGAAATTTTGTTTAATTATTAATTTTAATTTAGATGTTATATTATTGGAATGAATAAATTAACAGAGCACTCCCCAATACCTACTTATTTTTTGTTTAAAAATAACATCTGTTTTTCCTTACTACTGTGTAAAATAGATTTGACCTTACGTATCCAATAATTTCCCTGTAGAAAGTCGCCCTTTGATATTTTTTTTTATTATTAGTGTGATTCTTTTGTCTATTCCTCGTTTGTTTCCTTGCCAGCCCCCCCCCCCCCATTTTTGTCAATCAAAAATATCCTTTATTACCATAACCATACCGTTGTATATAGCATGCGCAGGAGACGAGCCACGCTGCCTCCTCTCCCATTCACATACAAGGACGCAGGCCCAGACCAGACATGGTGCCTGATATCACATCTAACACACCACAGGTATGTTTATTCCTACTAAAATTGAAATTTATTCTATCCTGCTAATAACAATATGAATGTGAGAGTTTGTACCTTTACATAGTATTAAAGTCCTTTAGATCTCTTAAACTACGCAAAGGATTTTAAGATAGTTTTCACCGTAGCGAAGTGATTGTTGGCGTATTTATTACCCAATCACGCATAAACGACTGAATGAATTAGATACATATGTATTTTACCTGAGCATGAACTTTTACAGCTTCGTAATAATCGTATCGCCTCAAAGTTTCTATGAAAACTAAGCAGCGCCCCTACTGGACGTAAGAACAAACTAGCTTCTTCCATACAAAATTTGGCAATGACGAAACGATTACAGATCTGTCAAAGTTCGTGCTTGGGTCCCTGGACTCGAACATAAACTACTTTTTATCCCAGAAAAATGTTAAGTTGGGATAATTAAACGGAAATGCGAAGCTTCGCCATGTACTTTATGTGTTTTGCCCAACGATATTAAATACCCTAGATCACCAACACGAACAAAACCGTGGCCGAAACCTGTCCAAAAGGTACATTGGACGATCCACGGAGCTCCGTAAGATGATCGCGTAGTCAAATTCAATATAAGGCATTTTTTGAACATTGAAAGTCACTTTAATGCATACTGTATAAGGTCTTAATTAAAGTAATGACAGTTCGAAATGCAGGCTCATAAAATTTTACGACTTATTGCTATATGCGAAAGAATAAAGACCATTATTTCTTTGACTCTACACGCAATTCTGAATGCGCTGTTACCAATACAGCAGGTGCGGACCGCGAGGAAGAGACGGCAATATTACCGACCATGCATTTGAATATCACAAATATTTTCTATTAAATCAGATTATAATAAGTAATAGAACAAAATTTGCTTTAAATGCGTTTAATTAACAAAACATTTATTAGGTACCTGTCGAAAAAACGACACTTTACGTACTATAAGTCTTTTTTTCGCATTTTTTATGGAGTTCTGCGGCATCTTGACTTTTCAACGGTCCGCGAGTGACTGAACCAAGAAGTGCTTGAGTGGTGTTCAAGCACTTCTTGATAGGGACACAGTTTCAGCGCACTGGTGTATCTAGGGTATTTAATATAGTTGGTTTTGCCATCAAATATATCGAAACACAGAGATTGGAGCCCGTTTCTTCCATTTACGTATAGGCTTTTGAGACAAAACAAGAACGTATTTAAACAGCGCCGTTACTATACCCTTTCTATAATATAACTTTATAATTAACTTAATATAACCTTTCTTACTATGCAGAACAAAGGTCTTTATTATGGAATAGAAAGGGAAAGAAGTAATTTCCTCTTATTCTATATATATCCACAGCAGCAACCGGACGTCCAACCTACTCCGCCGCTCCAGAGAAGCAAAGAAGGATCCTCGTTTAAGAAACACAACACTGATAACCTCGACGAACAGGTACTTTTTGAAGACCGAATTAATTTTGAAAACTTTTCAAAGCTACATAAAAACATTTACACTGCTACTTTTTTTCGTGATCCCGCGTTCGTATTTATGCGGAAATACGGGATGACGAACATCCGAATGCGATAGGGTACTTGACAGTGTTAAAAATAAAGTGCCAATTGTTGGCATCTGTGTTTAGAATGAATATTGGCAGGGGTTTTTACTATTTTTACAAAAAAAATATTCAGAATTTTACTAAAAACTAACGATAAAGATAATAGTTTTCTTATCTATTGTCACGTGATCCAAAATGCTTAGGATTGGCGAAGCCTAAAATGACGTTACATGCAAGTAAACTTCCGGTTAAAGTGACATTACATTGTATCGTTTGACGTTTTAATCAGTCGTGCGACGTCACACACTAGTAAGACGCCATATTGTCCAGAGAAACGATATCGCGGCAACTTGAAAATTGAGTTTTTGATTTGGTTATTTTTACTGAAATACACAACAGAATGATGAATATCCACTTTTTAATGTTTATGGAAACATTAGTGAATAACGTGAGATCGTTTTCTAAAATAAGTCAAATACCCTATTAGCCGCATAATCATCGACCTATTGATGTCGCAACTGCTGGGACACAAGCCTTCTTTACGAATAGGATAAAGGGATTAGGCCATGACCCATCACGCGGTCCCATTGCATTAGTCGCATAGCAGAAATCAAATCAAATCAGTTATTAAATTTAAAACTCTATTGTTTTTCTTTATCTCAGGCCCTCATCCAAATAGCGACAGAAGCTTTCGTGAAAGAACTGGGCTTGGAAAGCGACCACGTGCTTCGTGGAAACGTGCAAGTTAGGGATTTACCCACAGGCACTTACATTATGAAAGAAGAAAGCCACAAGGTGAGTCATTGTCTTCACTTTAATATCCATACGCTACGGCCACACTATCGCGCTATCTCGAACATTTTATATTTTCATGACAAGTCGTGCCAAGCAATGAAAATGAAAAATGAAATGAAAAAATGTTTATTAGTAACATAAAGTGTGTTATAATAATAGAGGTTGGATTCCCCTTTTAAGTGTGAGAACACTCGTGCTAGGAAAATCCATTGTTCCATAGCTTGAAGTAGTTATATAAAATACAGCCAGTGCAGTGTTAAATAAGTACATACAAAATTTCTTATGCAAATAGCAACTCGTACATGTTCACCTTTCTGACAGCGTTCCGAAACGTGACTATTGCTTGACCCGACTTGTCGCAAAAACGGAAAATGTTCGCGATAGTATGGCCGTAGCAATAGAAATACGGGGTAAATGTGGTCAGTGCATTTATGAATGTAAATGAAGCCACGAACAATGGCTTAACTTATCTTTCGAAGCACGGATGGACTTTGGAAAATATATAAATTAAACTTTTATTCGCACCTACCATACACAACTGCAAAAACTGACAATACAATATGAAAAGCAGAGAAAAAAATAATGCATTTGTATCTGCAAATTCGATAATATTACAATTAAATAAATTTTAAAAGAGAATTGAGTTTCAAAAAATAGCATTAGCAAACAACACGAAAAAACTAAGTTTAGAAATCGCACCTAAATAGTTACTGTTGTAAATGCAGTATGGCTAAATTTCTGATTAAGAGGAGATAATAAATTTCAAAGATGACTTGTGAAAATTAGAGAAGAAACTCAGACAGTATTTCACCAATCAAATTATGGCTTATTGTCACAATATTTTGTACTTTAATCCTTCTTCGTAGAGCATATCTTGACAATGAGCTATTTTAAATAGTTGATTTGAAAGTAAATATTTGGTTTTTTTAATTGTACAATTTTATTTATTCTATTCTTTTGTTTTCTTTTGAAAGCTGTATTATAGCATACCCGGCGAACCAGACATAAAACAGGTATATTTTTGTGTGTGGTTCTGAATTTTTAGTGTTTCACACATTCATCGCATGTACTGGGGGTATTTTGTTATAAAAAACATTTTATTACATTACAAAACGACCCCATTAATAAAAAACATTCAAGCGTTTTTTATTTCAAACACACGTATATTGGTACTTGTTAATTACCAATTTAAAATTGAGTAATCATAAAACATTTGTTACACTAACGAAATTACTTAAACAATTAAGACACAAACTCGAAAAAATCGCTTTTGTTTTAATTTGTGTTTTAAATAGTTTAAAACCTGTATTTAACTTTATATCTAATAGATTGTATTATCTTACTTGATAATTGTACATTAAATTGTTGTCCGTCTGATTATCAGTGGGCTACTAAATGATCATTATATATTTTTATAAAAAATTCAACTATTTCAGATTGTTGAATTTTTTACAAAATGTGTTTTTCTATTGGTTTATTTACATAAAAAATATTAAGGACCACATAAAAGCAATATAATATTTTCGACGTTAAGGGTTTCATATGCAAAGGGTGACAATAGGAGGGAAAGAACCTTATTAAGATGCTTCTGTTCTCTGTATGTCACAGGGCATCTCTTGAACGGAAATTGGCAGACTCCAAAAATGACACAGAAAGCCTGTTACTGTCACAATATATAAATACTTCTTACATAAAGCGTGATTTTGCTTTCCTATCCGGCTCACAATTAAGCGGTTTATTTGTACGACCGATTAATATTTCTGTTCGTTTTATAGGATGTAGCTTTGGTGTATCTGCTTTCTGGGGCGCTGTTGGTTTCTCAACGTGTGGCCGAAGGCGAAGGGGAAGTCCATATGTTCACAGCTTATCCAGGTAAACATAAAGAAAGCGCTCCACTTACTCGTTTACGTAAGAAGGCATAAGTATAAGTAGTGATTAAGGTCACCAAAGCAGTAGTAATGAGGAAGGTAAGTATGGTTCTCAAGACCTACTTAATGTTTTTTAAACAAAATAGAATAAAAATTTTGTTTATCATTTGAATTTCGACCTTGTTTCTGAACGCATTAAGTACAACAATATTAACGTACGAACGATGATCTTTGGCCTGTGTATCGTTATTATTTTTATAGAAAGTTCTAGGCCCAGGCCGCTAAAACTGCAGAGTGAATACGGCAATAATAACTACGAAATCATATAACCAATTAATTTATCTTAAGAATTCCGATTTCATAAACATTTGTTTTGGTCTGCAATTGTGAAAGTTAATCTGCATCTGCAGTTATTGGCACCCATCAATCTGCCCCTGAGCTCAGTGTTCCGATCTCCCTTTCCATCCATAAAGAAGACCTGTGCCCAAGCAGTAGGAACATTAATAGGCTAATGATGATGATGAAGCCATATTAATTTGTAAGTGGCTGCATCACAGTTTAATACTTGAACAGCAGCTATCCTACATATGTTTTTGCTGTATCCCATATTTTGAGAAATAAAGATTATTATTGTTCAACAAATACTTCGGCGTACCCATGCTTTTACTATAATTCATTTTTAGCTAGTAAAAATTACTTATTACTGTTATTAATTTGCACCCCAGGCGAAGTGGAAGGCGGTTTAGCAGTGTTGACAGGCGAGCCGAGTTTCTTCTCTATCCGCGCGAAGCATTTCTCCCGCATAGGACTTTTGTCCAAGACCACCGTATACAGCATCATGAGGGAGAGACCCTCGGTGGTGCTTCACATCGCCAACACCGTAGTGAAGAGACTGTCGCCCTTCGTCAGACAAGTGGACTTCGCCCTGGATTGGGTAACTATCACCATTACAATACAAGACTATAGAATGCAGCATCATTAGGGAGAGACCCTCGGTGGTGCTTCACATCGCCAACACCGTAGTGAAGAGACTATCGCCCTTCGTGAGACAAGTAGACTTCGCCCTGGATTGGGTAACTATCACCATTACAATACAAAACTATACAATGTAGCATTATTAGGGAGAGACCCTCGGTAGTGCTTCACACCGCCAACACCTTAGTGAAGAGACTGTCGCCCTTCGTCAGACAAGTGGACTTCGCCCTGGATTGGGTAACTATCACCATTACAATACAAGACTATAGAATGCAGCATCATTAGGGAGAGACCCTCGGTGATGCTTCACATCGCCAACACCTTAGTGAAGAGACTGTCGCCCTTCGTGAGACAAGTAGACTTCGCCCTGGATTGGGTAACTATCACCATTACAATACAAAACTATACAATGTAGCATTATTAGGGAGAGACCCTCGGTAGTGCTTCACACCGCCAACACCTTAGTGAAGAGACTGTCGCCCTTCGTCAGACAAGTGGACTTCGCCCTGGATTGGGTAACTATCACCATTACAATACAAGACTATAGAATACAGCATCATTAGGGAGAGACCCTCGGTAGTGCTTCACATCGCCAACACCGTAGTAAAGAGACTGTCGCCCTTCGTCAGACAAGTAGACTTCGCCCTGGATTGGGTAACTATCACCATTACAATACAAAACTATAGAATGTAGCATTATTAGGGAGAGACCCTTGGTAGTGCTTCACACCGCCAACACCTTAGTGAAGAGACTGTCGCCCTTCGTCAGACAAGTGGACTTCGCCCTGGATTGGGTAACTATCACCATTACAATACAAGACCATAGAATGCAGCATGATTAGGGAGAGACCCTCGGTAGTGCTTCACATCGCCAACTCCGTAGTAAAGAGACTGTCGCCCTTCGTCAGACAAGTGGACTTCGCCCTGGATTGGGTAACTATCACCATTACAATACAAGACCATAGAATGCAGCATGATTAGGGAGAGACCCTCGGTAGTGCTTCACATCGCCAACTCCGTAGTAAAGAGACTGTCGCCCTTCGTCAGACAAGTGGACTTCGCCCTGGATTGGGTAACTATCACCATTACAATACAAGACTATAGAATGCAGCATCATTAGGGAGAGACCCTCGGTGGTGCTTCACATCGCCAACACCGTAGTGAAGAGACTATCGCCCTTCGTCAGACAAGTGGACTTCGCCCTGGATTGGGTAACTATCACCATTACAATACAAGACTATAGAATGCAGCATCATTAGGGAGAGACCTTCGGCAGTGCTTCACATCGCCAACACCGTAGTGAGGAGATTATCGCCCTTTGTCGGACAAGTGGGTTTCCTGGGTTTGGTAATGAGGTCACTAGTTGGCGATACTGTGACGTGAGATCTTTTGTATGAAGTTCTTGGCGCGAACGAATCGGACGAGCATTATAATTGATCCATAGACTATGACAATATATGCGATTTGACTTATGACTAAACCTTTCACCTCAGTGCTGCCACCTGGTGCCCGTATTTCCAGAAAACCCCCATTGCTGTACCGGCTCCACGCATTGGCACATTTGCACTATATATATTGCTTTTGCATTGGTAATAAAATTTTAAAGAAAATGAGCGTGATGTATTTGAAAACCTTAGGCGGTTAGAAATAACAAAATGAAATCGTAAACGATAGCGATAGCTATCGTTAGGCGATTGCCCCCCTGGCGCCCGTTATTCCAGGAAACCCTTATTATCGCACTTCTCCACGGAAATCACAACGAGACTCCATCTTTTTTTTCGTTTCCTCCCAGGTGGGTGAGCGAGTCTGAAGTCCTGATAGATACCCTACAGTCGACTGCAGGGTTATGTCAGACTTACTGACCAATGCACACCCGCAGTGGGAAGGCCTATGGCCAAAAGGGCCTTACGTGTTACAGGCTTCATCTAAAGCGATCAACCTCTGTGTTGGTCCGGATTTATATAAATTAGTTTACTCCAGAACTTAGTAAGCGTGATGCAGGCGTAAAACTTTTCAAACTTTATGAACAGTGATTAAGTTAACTGCCATGGAGCTATCCATCGGTAATGAAGTGTAAAATTCTTCTCCTTTCAGTTAGAGGGGCCATACACGTTACAACGTACGGACTTGGGCCGTTCGTATGTTGGTCGTAGTGTGGACTGAACGACCAAGGTCATTTCGCCAGTCCGTTAGAATACTTATCGAACCGTGGTTCGATCTACGGTCTGTGTGACAGTTCCAACACAAATGGCCCCCTTTTACTTGGAACTTGTGGAAGCCAATTCAAATATTGTTATTTATTGTAACAGGTGTTTCTCGAATCCGGTCGAGCGGTGTACAGACAAGACGAAGAATCCGGCTCCACCTTCATAGTGCTCAGTGGCCGGTTGCGTTCAGTCATAACTCATCCTAACGGCAAGAAGGAATTGGTTGGGGAATACGGCAAGGGAGATTTGGTTGGCATTGTGAGTAGTTTTTATGAAACGTTTATGTATGTTCATTTCCATATTCCTTGTTAACGACTCATTTCGTTTCTGCTATATTATTTTACTGAATTAAATTAGGACGTAATACTTTCAACTGGTGTGGTTTTTTAATAATTTTTATTTCTAAAATCTCTGGAATAGAAATGTAATTTAATGTAGGGCTTTGCATCGGCTTAAACCTTTAATAAAATTTCGATTAAGGAAGTGTATTGTACCCCTAGCACGAACCATAATAGTTTGCGAGTGCGAAATGTCAATGTCAAATGTTGTATGAAAACTTGAAGAGCAGCGCCACAAAGTACGCAACGAGAAGTAAAAATCAGTACACATTTGACAATGACACTTCGGACTCGCAAACGTTACGAATTCGATATTGGTTCGTGCTAGGGGTGCAGATTACTTGAAATCATCGAGATCGAGCTGTGACGTTATAGAGAGAGTTCTTCCATTTTTCATTACGCTCTTGTCAGTTTTACTGACATGGTACGCTTATGAAATGAAATGTTACTTTATTCAAATTTACTTACATACTTATTAGAAAGTTCTTTAGAATATTTTCTTCTTACTATTCATATCATTCAGGACTTCTTTTAGCTGATAAGATAAATGGGCGCAGAAAAACTCATCAGCATAAAATTATACATGATTTACCTAAAATGTTATCTTAAATCAGGTGGAAATGGTGACTCAAACTCGTCGCAGCACAACAGTGATGGCGGTGCGTGACTCTGAGTTAGCGAAATTGCCCGAAGGATTGTTCAACGCGATCAAGCTTCGGTTCCCGGTTGTGGTCACCAGACTCATCAATCTGCTGGGACATAGGATATTAGGTATGTCAGCAATAATAATATTATAATTCACAAGTCTGTATGTCTGTTACTTCTTCACGCTTAAACCACTAATCGTAGGAGCTCGATGGCGCAGGTGGTAAGCACGTTCGGCTGCGATCGTTGAAGTTAAAGCAACTTTCGCAGTGGTCAGTCATTGGATTTGTTAGTTTTTGTAATTATTTTCAAACCTTATCTATCGAACGTCCTCTTTTTTCTAGCCTCTACACATATAGTATTGACTAAGCATGAAATTGCTTATTCAGAAGAGAGACAGCCAATACCTCGGTGTATACCTGTGGTCAAACGCAATGCCTATTATGGATAAAAAAAAACTTATACGATTAATGGTTGGCCTGATCGTTTCGTCTCACACTTTTGTTTAAATTTACATTTAGACTTAATGCATTCTTTATCTCTGTTCTAGCGTTATGAATGGGCTATCCTTGTGCTATAATGTTCTCGTATCCATGCCTAAGGTTCTTAGCAATAGCCTACAGCTGGGATTTTTGTGCTCTAATGTTCTTATAATCTACTTCTTAGGTTCCTGGCAGAAGCCAACAGCCGGCTTAGGGGCGGCGGCCATTGACCCGCGTCCTTCTCAACATAATTTCTCCACCGTGGCCGTAGTTCCAGTCAGCGACGATGTGCCTCTCACTGCCTTCACCTACGAGCTGTACCACTCGCTGTGTGCCATAGGTGAGAGGGGGACGGATATAGTGCGTGTGTCTCGCTCGCACACCACTTCTCCACCGTGGCCGTAGTTCCAGTCAGCGACGACGTGCCTCTCACCGCGTTCACCTACGAGCTGTACCACTCGCTGTGCGCCATAGGTGAGAAAGAGACGGATATAGTGCGTGTGTCTCGCTCGCACACCATTTCTCCAACATGGCCGTAGTTCCAGTCAGCGACGACGTGCCTCTCACTGCCTTCACCTACGAGCTGTACCACTCGCTGTGCGCCATAGGTGAGAAAGAGACGGATATAGTGCGTGTGACTCGCTCGCACACCATTTCTCCAACATGGCCGTAGTTCCAGTCAGCGACGACGTGCCTCTAATCGCCTTCTCCTACGAGCTGTACCACTCGCTGTGCGCCATAGGTGAGAGAGAGACGGCTATAGTGCGTGTGTCTTGCTCGCACACCACTTCTCCACCTTGACCGTAGTTCCAGTCAGCGACGACGTGCCACTCACCCATAGAGGTATAAGAATAGAGTAGGGGAAAAACAGACTCTACTACAAGTGGAAGTGTCCCTCTAATAGAAAGAGAAAGAAGATGAGAGACCGCTAGCTTTCTCTCTCTAATCGCGCATGCGCATTGGCAACCGTAAGCATCTTACTATCACGATGTGATGCCATTGGATGTCATGCGTCACAAGAGAGAGATAGCTAGCGCCTCTCATCTTGTTTCTCTTTCTACTAGACGGACACTTAGAGCCGCCTTCCCCACTCTGCTCTTATACCTTTATGCTCTCACCGCCTTCACCTACGAGCTGTACCACTCGCTGTGCGTCATAGGTGAAAGGGAGACGGATATAGTGCGTGTGTCTCGCTCGCACACCACTTCTCCACCGTGGCCGTAGTTCCAGTGGTTTTATAACATTATTTACAAGTTAACTTTTTCTGCGATATCATCCCTGTAGATATTCTTATTGAAAAATTCCTAGGGAATTTAAAATAGGACACAGATTTAAGAAAACCTGTTACAGTTACTTTTTTGTAATTCCACAGGATCATGACAAATTTTGCGAAATAGAAGTGTCCTACGTTACAACCCAGTTAGTTAAGAAACTATCTTTGTGTCAAATTTCTTCCAAATACATTTAGTCATTTGTGCGTGATTCGATAACAAAAAACTATACAAACAAATTTTACATTTAAAATTTTAGGTAAGAAAGTACAGATTAAGGTTAACTCTTGACCTTAAATTAAAGATTAGGGAGGCTTTTTTTAATTACTTTAAATTCAATTGAACTGTATGAATATATATATGTTTCTTAGGTTTTCACGCACACCACTCTTTAAATAAAACAAGTTTCAACGGTATGGATGCACTGATTTATTTATTTACTGATGTTTCTATAACAAAACCATTATTCAGACGACGAAACGTCAATAAATAAATAAATCAGTGCATCTTTACTTATTTATTTATTTAAGGACAACCAACAAGAATATCCACACATAGTATAGTATAACAATAGTGTATAAGTGACAATTTAAGTGGTATCTTAATTATAGGCTGCCACGGCGTGCATTTGTGACAATGATGACAGAGTGTGCATTTTAACAAAATTATAAAAATATAAAAAGAAATAATTATGCATAATATTCACAAACATGTTGTTGTTACACTCACACTGAACATAACAGGCATCTTAACATATCCGATACGACAGAACAATTGTGCAACAAGATATCAGGAGATACTACAAAATTAATAATACAATGCTTATTATACCATTGAAACTTGTTTTATTTATAAATGTATGTTAAGCTAAATTATGTACTGGTAGCATTTAATTTCTTATGTTCTATAAATAATTTTGTATTTTGCATTAGGCCCTACAGTTCGTCTCACATCGGATGTCATAAGAAAACTGCTCGGGCTCACAATCATGGACCCGAACAACGAATACAGACTGAGTTCGTGGCTCGCACAGCAGGAAGATAAGCACAAGGTATACTTATATTAATAAGAATCTTATCTTTTTTATGTTATTTCAACTTTAACTCAAAGGCACAAAGGTTGCAAACTTCTGTCATGAGGATTTAAAATTTTTTTTCACTGATGTAATGATTATTAATGGTTATTTGTAAATGTGTGCCTAAAGTTTTATTAGATCATATATCAATAGGATTCCATAAACTAACATTTTATCAATACAAATTTACATTAAATAAGAATTTAGTTCAGTGGTAACAACATCGCAAAAAAATCAAGTGACGCAAAATTAAAAAATACGACCAGGTTTATTAATTTGAGGTATTTCTATATGTGATTAAGAACGCATGATGTATAAATTACTAGATTTTATTAAAATTAATTACCTTACATAAAAAGTAATTACCCGACTGCACACGCAAGCAGCGCGACGCGCAGACAGGGTATTGTGTTTATCAATCTATTTAACTATCCATGTTCCTTTGTTTTGTATATGCATTTATTATCGCAACCATTTGAAATTTCTTTTTCTTCTTGTTGTCACCAGGTCGCGTTATACCAATGCGATCCTAGTCTTACCCAATGGACTCAGAGATGCATACGGCAGGCTGATTGCATCCTTATAGTAGCACTGGGCGACAAGCAGCCCAGCATTGGGAAGGTGAGTCTCAGAAACAGTTCCGAACACTATCTACATTATGCAAGAAATTTTAATAGCATCTATACATATAATAAAATGGTAGGAAAGTCAAAACTATACATTGAATATTTTTTTAAAAAAATACTTGTGGTGTGATCTATAATCGAAGCCAAAAATATAGTTTTTAATATTTTTGTCTGTTTGTCAGTATGTATATCCGGGATAAACATATAGGCAACATATTATCACGCTATCACCTACGGCGAACGAGCAGTGAACCTTTATTTCTTCAACGCATTCTGTAACAACGTGTAATCTAACGACGCATATTTGAATGTTGTTATTATGTAAACCATGCTTTAAGCTAGCTTCAATATAGCATCTTTAGAAATAAACCCCCTTTTGGGGTCAAAAAGTATGTGCAAATAACTAACCCCACTCGTACGAAGTCGCGGGCGGCAGCTAGTTTTTTATATAAGAGGGAAGGAAAGCGATCATACGGCCCGTTCGACTGTAAGCGGCCACCATAGCCTTTAAACGCTTGCAATATCAAAGTATCACTTGCGCCGTTGCCTTCTCTAATTCATCCCCTACCCCATGGAACCTTAATCACCTACAGAAGCACAACACCATCAACAGGTAGTGTAATTTCACTGTGATCTCTTTAAGGCGGAAGTTACTTAACCATACCTTAAATATCGGGGGGCACGGTAGTGCCCCCGCCAAGTCGAGCGCGAAGCAAACACTGCCGTACTATCCTTTACTAGAACCATTTCGCCGCATTTTCAGGTCCCTATTTGAGAACCTCTGGATAAGACCAGAACGCAGAAATGTGTCATGTAGCACCTGGTTTTGTACCCTTGTGTACCCTTCAACGGCCAAGTCACACAACATTAACTATAATAATAAAGAAATCGCAGTAAGGAACCTTAGACTTGGCACGACTTTGTCTAGATTTAATTACTTTTTAGAGATAAACAAGCAGCTCCATCGAGACTTGGCTAGTTTTTTACAGAATGTTTTTGGTGGGATACATTACATGTATATTACATACATTTACGTGGATTCTTTATGATATTCACAACACTTTTATCCGAATGACGACCGGCCGTATTCATACAATACATACAGTGCAACCTTAATATAACGTACCTCAATATAACGACTTCCTTGATTTAACAAATTCTTCGTAATCCCCTTGAACTTTGTGGAAAGTCAATGTAAAATAAACCTTTACATTGCAAAAATATTTTGCGAACAACCTCTTTATAACAAATTTTCAACTATCAAAAAAAGACTAAATACCTCTAATTTACGAATTTTGTCAACCAAAAACCTCTTTATAACGTTTCCATCAATATATGGCCCTTAATCCCATAGTACGTGATTCATGTCACGCCAGGAAACTATTTTTTACCTCTTTGTAACAAATCCTAACCTCAATGTAACAAACCTCAAGAATTACTCGATATAACGAATATATAATCTCGTATATGGTTCTCTTCCGATTTGTTATATCGAGGTTGCACGTAGTAACCAAAATGCGACTATACCCTGTGTTTATTCACGGACAGATCGAAAAGGAAATCGAGCGTCTCGCGATCCGTACGCAAAAGGAGTTAGTTCTACTCCATCGCGAGGGCGGTCCGAATCCCTCAGGCACTGTTCATTGGCTGAACATGCGTTCCTGGGTCAGCCAGCATCACCACGTCAGGTGTCCACATCGAATGTTCACTAGGAAGAGCCAGTATAGGATTGTGAGTATCGTGACTTTGTTTATAAAAAGCTCTAAGAGGAAATCAAGCTTCTAGCGACCCCTACGCAAAAGGAGTTAGTTCTACTGCATCGCGAGAGCGGTCCGAATCCCTCAGGCACTATTCATTGGCTGAACATGCGTTCCTGGGTCAGCCAGCATCACCACGTTAGGTGTCTTCATCGAATGTTCACTAGGAAGAGCCAGTATAGGATTGTGAGTATTGTGACTTGGTTGATAAAAAGCTCTAAGAGGACATCAAGCTTCTAGCGATCCGTACGCAAAAGGAGTTAGTTCTACTCCATCGCGAGGGCGGTCCGAATCCCTCAGGCACTGTTCATTGGCTGAACATGCGTTCCTGGGTCAGCCAGCATCACCACGTTAGGTGTCTACATCGAATGTTCACTAGGAAGAGCCAGTATAGGATTGTGAGTATTGAAACTTAGTTTATAAAAAGCTTTAGAAAGAAATCAAGCTTCGAGTGATTCGTACGCAAGAGGAGTTAGTTCTACTCACAGAACTAGATTGCCGCATGTGCTTCAAATTAAGAACAAATTAAGTGGCGAAAAAGCATGGGCCCCTGCCACCTACTACAACTATATAGTCTTTTTACAGTTTCTATATTAAGCTGTAAAAACAGTTAGATATTTTTTAAACATTGTGATTGATTTTCGGTATTGAGAATGGTGACGCGCAGATATAAATAAGAAAGACCGTCGTAAAAGAAAGACCATCTCGTTTTTACAGCTTAATATGACACATAGTTTTTAAACGTTGCCATTGACTTTCGCGTCGAGAACGATGACGTGGAGAAAGAAATATCATAATAGGAAGACCATTGGTCTCCTTTTTTTGGCACGCAAAGTACATACACTTGCGTTATCTATTTCGATCTATGTTTGTGGTTTTACTGCATCGAAAAGGTGGTCTTAATCCTTCGGCCATGGTTCATTGGCTGAACATGTGCTCGTGGTGACCCAACATATATCCACTTCATGTGTCCGCATCGTATGATCACTAGAAATAGCCAGTATTGGATTGTGAGTATTGATGGTTACTTGGTACCAGTTCTTTTATTAAGCCTAGCCCAACATGAACTTGCACGTGAGACAGATGTGTAAAATCTTTTTTTATTTTGATTTTTGACCTCCCCCTAGCCTCCTAAGCGTCATTTTTTTTTTATGATGAAGACGATATGATTTTGTATTGACACCGTAATATTTTGTAATTATATTGTAACATAATTATTCAACGCTGTGAAGTTTTCTTCGCCAGTTTTTCTCCACAGCTAAAAAAATCTCCTTAAATATGGACGATTCAATTAAAGGAGTTTTATTGTGCGTCCAATTTGAATAAAGATTTTTTTTGACTTCGACCTTGAGTTTGATGTGATACTTCCCAATTTTTTTTACAGAGTGAGTTATACAGCAAGGTGCTAATGTCGGAAGCGAGCGTGCATTCCGATTTCTCTCGCCTGGCACGCTGGTTGACTGGCACATCTGTGGGACTGGTACTGGGCGGGGGTGGGGCACGCGGCGCTGCACATATTGGCATGATTCGTGCCATACAGGTACCGTTCTATATACAACACTACTCAGTACAAGTAACAACAACTTGTTTAAACTGCACTACCTATACGTACTACTTTAATTTTACATATTTTGACTACTAACAGAATTTTGATTTGGCTGCGAAGCGTTTAAAATGTCTTTGTTGTAAATATTAGGAGGCCGGCATACCGATCGACATGGTAGGCGGTGTGAGCATCGGTGCCTTCATGGGGGCGCTATGGTGCATGGAGAGGAACATCACTACGGTCACACAGAAAGCCAGGGAATGGTCTAATGTAAGAAAAACCTTGTTAATACGATGATTTGTCGATATAGAATTATATTATTCGGTATAATTACGCATCTGGTCAAACTGCTTTTTTTTACAGTCCGGAGGTTACAGGCTCGTTCAATTTGAATTTAAAATAATATTCTATAAATACCACCTAAAACTGTTAAAATTATTAAATTTATAAATTAAAAACCATGCCAAAACCTCACTGTAGCTATGTCATTCAGTTTTATACAGCTCCTGTAAAAAAATAATTTTATGTAATTATACCGTTTTGTTCGCCAGCTCCTCATATAGTAGGAAATAATACTCTGATTGCTTTGCTACTTGTTTTCTAGTTATTTTGCGCGTAATCACTTTTCATATCTTGTTCTTGATAGATTGCTGTTTGTCAATAATTTATTTTCAAATTTGACATAGCAAGTATTGGCCCAACTATAGATAAATTAAGGACACATTATACTCTACTTGATGTATGAACTCGAGGGCTTGACTAATATTCAAGTGCAATAGATCTTTGTATAGCATTAACAATATTAATAAAAAATAATCATTCGGTATACAATGGGTGAAGAAAACGCAAAGCGCATTACAGATGGTGCTTTGGCCGTTTGGCCCATAACAAGGAATCTGTAACTGCCAGGGTGCGTGCTAAACCTAACGCTCTGAGTGCAACTTTTTACTCTATCATTTTTATTTTGACACAAAATGTATGAAACTTATGTCAAAATTGATATTTGTTGCACCTGGAGCGTAGAAAGAGTGTTAAGTATAAGCATAGAGATATAAGAATAGAGTGAGGAAGGCGGCTCTAACAGTGTCCGTCTAGTAGAAAGAGAAAGAAGATGAGAGACCGCTAGCTATCTCTCTCTCTTGTGACGCATGACATCTAATGGCATCACATCGAAATAGTAAGATGCTTACTGCGTCTCTCATCTTCTTTCTCTTTCTATTAGAGGGACACTTCCACTTGTAGTAGAGTCTTTATCTCCCCTACTCTATTCTTATACCTCTATGAGTATAAGTCTCGTATTTGTCGTTTTTCCTTGTGACTGACAGCTGTCTCGATTAATTGTTATAGGATATTGGACACCTGCGTCTCCGGCGGGATTCTATGACAGTTTCTTCCCCATTGTATTTCATCCTTCTTTCCTTTACATTCAGAAAATGACCCAATGGGGCAAACAACTACTCGACCTCACCTATCCGGCCACCTCGATGTTCTCCGGCCGTCAGTTCAACGCCACCATCCGTTCCACCTTCGGGGAAGTCCATATAGAAGATCTGTGGCTACCTTACTTCACAGTCACTACCGACATCAGCGCTAGCTGCATGCGAGTGCATAGGCACGGTAAGCGATATTAGACCTAAAAGAAAAAGTGCCAATTTTGTGTAGTTTAATTAACATTTTAAATTATAGCTGATTACATTATTCCGAAATGGGTAAAATTATTAAATCTGGAAGTCCTGCCAAGATCATTACGAAATCATTATAGATTTTAGGTCAATAAGCTCTGTGAAATGAAGATACAAGTGTTGAAGGTTATTATATTTTTATTTTAAGTTTGATGTGACGTGAAAATGTAGAGAAAATGTTAATAGAATAAATAACACTCCGCCATAGTTTCAGACGGGATTCGAAACCGCATCTTCCGCTATCCGGGCGGAAGTATTGAAATATTTCTTTTAATCGTATGCAATGTCTAAGCCTTACATAAGACCAACGAATTTTGATACTTTCATTAGTAGCCTGATGAGCTCGGGCTACTAATGAAAGTATCAAAATTCGTATTTGTAATTAGAATTAATCGTTTTTAAACATGAATCCAAACCACTAGTGTTTTGTTTTGTATAGCCTCTTAATTTTTAAACACGACCCCCCCTTGCATGAACACCACAATATGATATATATATCGATTTTATCACGCTCGATTGTCAAATTACTATGGAGTTTAACAGTTAGACGAGATAAAAATCGTGATATAATATATATTGTGGTACTCATGCTACAGGGACTGATAAGGTTTTAGATAGGTTTAGGTAACTACCAAATAACACTATGCATTTTTTTTTGTAATATCAGGGTTGCGTTCCATATCTACATTCCAGGTGAAACTTTTCTCATATTCGACATAGGTTTCATACATTTTGTGTCAAAATTTAAACGTCAGAGTGAAAAGTTGCATCTAAAGTGTGTAGGTACGGAATGCAGCTCTGCTCTGCTAAGTTTCGAATATACCTTAGAATAATAATTTTCAATTACATAGAAGGAACGCCAAATAGCAACAATGTGTATTCGATTTGTCCTACATTTACCGTAAACACAGATAAAGTATTGGGAAAAGGTAGATAAAGCACTTTTCTCTTGTCGATTGGATAGTTGGACAACAATATTTTAGCAATAAAAATATTATAAAAAAAATACGCTTCAAGCTCATCTACTCCATGTTAAAACTGTTCACAATTCAAACAAACGAAGTTTCACTTTAAAACACTTAAGACTTAAGTGTAAAATATCAGAAATTTAACCAAAAGCTAATCACAAAGTAAAACCAATTATTGTACTAATTTGATAAAAAAAGGCAGAATGAAGTATGATTTACTGTCTCGCTTACATGCGTTTGTCTGCGCTTTGGTAAGAAAAGCACAGATCTAGCCAAACAGTTTTTATTCTATGTAAATTATTATTCTATGGAATAGATTATCAGGATTTAAGAACGAGTGGTAAAACAATTATTTCATGTTTATATAGTAAGTTTCAAGGGTTCCATGGTGTACGAAATGGGGTGTAGGCAACACGAGGCTTTATGGCCCACTTTTCGTAAGGCGGGCCAGATTTTGTTTTCCATCACTATTACAAAAAACAAACGAATGTGCTTATGGCCACACGACTGAAGTGAAACTTTGTTAGCTCCATCTGTATGTACATATATATGTGTGTACATACATATATGTACATATACATTTTATACATACTTCATTTACTAGCTAAAAGAGAAAGAAAATGTGCGCGCGCACTGCTATCTCTTGCTTATATCCCCCACTCAACTCCCGTTCGCCTCACCCGAACACACTTTTCGTAACGCGTAACGCATTCGCCAGCTTACCCCCAAGTGCAGCGTGCGTAAAGAAGTTTCACTTCAAAAATATAAAATTAATCATATATGTACTTACACAACACATTCATGGACAGGACGCTACAGAATTACGTGTTTTATTAATTTGTAGCTTTCTTTGCACCTTTACTAGCCCAACAAATATGTTTTTTTTTTGCTTCATTTTCATGGTTTTCGTTGCCACCTCTCGTATCCCCAATAGAAAGATGATTAAAATGATTTCATAACAATACATTTTTATAAACATTCAACTGTTTGTATGTAAGTGTAAATATTTGATGCATGTTTTATTAATGTTATTAAAGAATGTAGTATTTTTTGCCTAATTTATCTGCTGACCAGACGATAAAGAGGTATTTTATTAACATTCAATTTATCTCGCCATTGTTAACTGAAAGCTTCAAGTGTTGAAGCTTTTTCGTGTTGTTGTTGTTTTTGGTATGCTTTGCGGATTTGTTTATGCCATCATATGATTTCACATATCTATGGTGGCGTAGCAATTTTGAAACTTATGAGCTAGACATAGTGATAGTTTGGGAGTTTCTTTTCATATGTCGCTCTGTGACGTTTGAGGTCGCTCATTGGAGGATAAGCTTATAATTATGTATTTTTTTATGTTTATTAATCCGCTACATTTTTTTTTATCTCCGACAACCACACTCACTTGCATTCATGTGTTTGTATGATTTTCAAAGTGTGTTACACAGCGGCGAAAATGTATGAACATTTTTTTTATTTATTGTGTATGTCCCTCGCTCGATGTATTCACTCCCCCTGTATTTTTATACAAAGTTATTTATAAATTTTATTGTCATATATATTTCTAATTGTTTTATATAAATACGAATCCGACATTTGCTTTGGGTCGTTGCCATTACTGATTTGAGAAAAAAAAGAACAACGCTTGTGATTGGTTTACCGAATAACGCTTGAGAGCTCCATTTTTGAAATATAATATATACTTTTTTAGTTCATATCCGGTGCGTATTTACAATGTCGGGTTGGGTGTCAATAATCAAATGGTGTATGTATTGGGTGGTATAAACCATACATTTATCATTAGTACATTTCGTATTCATCTTACTTCATGTATGTACATATATGCATGAGTGTGGTTATAGTTTTCCCATTAGTATTTTAACATATCTTACTTCATTATCACTCACTATTATTGTTGTATGTAATTGCATTTGAAACGTTCTAAGTAGATATAATTTAATATTGTACCTTTTTGGTTATGATGCTAACGTAACATTAGTTACATTTTTGTATTAATTAAAAACAACTAAGATTTATTATGAAACAACTAGCGTTTATAGAGTAACTAATTATCGTACGTAATTAGTGCGCCGTGTCTAGCAGTCTGCGTCTTCAAGATATCAGGTTTGAAATCGGTCTATTAAATTTTGCTAACGAACTTTTCTATATTGGGGTTTTTGTGGTTTTTAACTGTGATTTCAATAACACAACGTTTTTAAGAGTAATAACTTCTAAGCACAGCTTTCCATCTGTCTTTCTTTCGCTTAGAAGCTTTGATTTGATTATGCAACAGAAAGAATAGATTAACCATAAGTCCTTACTATTAACACCACGATTTCTGAAGCTGCGCCTTTCAAATTTCTAGGTAGAAAGATTGATCACAAAGAACGCACTAAATCCTTAGCGGCAGTTCAGCTGTACCCCTCAACTATATTTAGAGATCAGTATAGTTTTGGGATGAAGTGAAAGAAACCATCGGGATTCTATAAAACAACACCTCAGAGTCACCAAGATGCATATCTTGGGACAAACCCAGGGTGAAATAGTCTCATCACTTACAAAAGACAAACATGTTGGGGAGCTTGAGACTTCAATTCCATAAATAATTTATGGCAGGTGGACAGGTTAATAGTCGGGCTGGGTTCCGCAAAGAAAAAGGAGTACCGAGACATAATAAAATATTTCCTACAATAAGACATAAATGATATAAAGTACACGCAATGAATTTAGAAATGCAAAGTGAATGGGTAGAGCCATAGGTGAGTTCTGCATTCCATTAGCTCTGAAGTGGCGCACTTTATTACATGATTGGTCTCCTGCTCTACTAAAGTTCCATATCAATGCCTTCCAAATGACCCTGCCAGAGCAGAGTAACCTAGTAGGGTTGGGGAAAGCCTTTGGAAAATCGTGCTATACTTGTTGTGAGGCAAGAGGTACTACTGCTAGGCACATATTGGTAGGTTGCAAGGTGCTCCTTGATAAGGGTCAGTACTTACGTCGCCATGATAGAATACTTGGAGTCATACGTGAAGCAGCAAGTCTTGCTGTGGCTAGAGCACAAAAAGGATTAACAACAAATAAAAAACAAATTAACTTTATAATAAAAGGCTCAACTGTTAACTCAAAAAACAAGCCTTTCCCAATCCTAGGTACTGCGCCTGACTGGCCTATTTAAGAAAATGAGTGTAAGGTATTTGAACACCTTCGGAGGTCAGAAATAACAAAATGAAATCTTAAGCGATAGCGATAGCCTTAGCAATCTCGTTAGGCGATTGACCCCCAGGCCAGACATATTCCTCTTTTCGAGGCACAACAAACATATAGTATAGTACCACCCCGATGGCGCTCGGTCCCTTCCCCCCTCAGACCTCATACCGCTGAAGAGACCTTTAAAACGTCTATTGCGAATGTCAAACCACGTGGCGCGTTAAGTCTCTTCTTTCGTGGCGCGTATTGTACTAATAAAGCTTACTGTACTGTGGGAAAGTAACATTCGAAAAGACCACACATTAAAATTGAATAAATATGTAGGAAGGCACGTCACGTCGGGGTACCCAGTGTAGGAAGGCCAAAGGGGAAGATCTTCCGAGCTGGGTGATGGTAGCTCGGGGGCCGCGGCCCGACTGATGTTGTTCGGGCATTGTATATATGGAGTGTTAGCCTCCGAATTTCACCTGATGATCGCAGCGCAGATAGCGCGATCACTTGAGGAGGCGAGTGATTATTTCATCTATGTTAGTTATATGTGGGGCATGTAGATGTCGCCGCCACAAATATAATGATCTAACCAATGAACTAACTAAAAATGGTTATCTAGTTAATTTATATGCGGTAGAGATATACTAGCAAAATCTCTCTATAACCTTCTAAAAGACCTAGGCCTGTCGAGAATTGCAGTATGTTAAATTTTGAAACGAGTAACTAAGGCTGCATTAACAGGCTCCTATCAAATTTGGCTAGGAAGGGCGGGCAACTCGAGTAATGAAGTCGAGTGTTGATCTTAAAACTTCCTTAAACCTACACCTGGGTCGCAAGTTCTGGGAAATGCTTAGAGTTTCTCTCTCTCCCACTTGATGGACCCGGCACCCGCACAGTGAATCTATTAATTGCTAAGAAGTTTGTCTCTTTGTTGAATGATTCGTAAATAGACAAGAAGTGTATCTAATCCAGAATAATTGTAAAAAAAGCTCGTAGGATTGCGCTTATTTGTGCGTGCGCTTTATCCAAACAGGTCTATGATTTTTTGCGAACGTGACCTTGAACGAAAATTGATGAACTTTCATATTAATTTAAATCAAATTTACAGCTTATGCTTATATATTATGTTAAGCCTCATTCTATCTCTATTTGACTAATCAATAAACAGGGATGTATTGATGCGAAAAATGAAAACAAAGAATTTGGTGACTCATTCCTTTGTGGCACTATCCGCAAATGGAATGTTTTGCTCGCTCACGTGTTACCTTCCTCCTACAGCTTAGGGTCCTTTAAAAGAGCCGTGAAGAAGCAATGTGCAGGCCGGCAGGGTGAGGATGGCTGGTGTGGCAGGTAAAACTGCTGCAGCATATTCGCTCAGGACTCCATCGTCACTTGACATCAGATGGGATGGAGTCATTTGTTTGACATTAATATATAAAGACATAATTAATACTTACTTTGGATTAAGAATCTTATTGTAAGTGGCCCAAATGTTATAAATATAAGGTCTTTCTTCTCTATCCCAAATTATAAAACTAGTTGCAATAAATATTGAGTATAGAAAAGTTCGTTAACCATTGTATTTATTCTTAGTTTCATTAGCGTTTCATCTGTGATTGATTAGAATATAATATAATTATCCATCCATTTCATTATCGGCATGTCGTGCATGATCTGATGCTGTGGCGACTACCCTCATTGCGACTGAGTCATTTAATTGAAAAACAAAACACAATATTTTTCTAGGAAATAACATCCTCCAATGTTCTACAAGTCTGCGTCAAAATTTTTAGGTTATTTAATTAATCTTTTATTGTTCTAAGCACAATCATTGTCACAGAAGTGATAATTATTACGGCCTTTCAATATTTTGTAAAGTCTAGGACAAGACAGAAGATGAGCTACCTCCACTCCACTATTGTTGTTATGTAATAAGCGCGAAATTTATGTCAAATTCTATCTACCAAAGTTGCCTCAATTGTACTACGACAGAAATAAATATTGTTGCTGTTTTTAATATGAAATTGTACCGCCTATATTTCCTTAATAAATGCGTAGCAAACAAAAGATTGGGCGCCAAAGTAACCGTGCAAATTATATTGACTTCAAGGGGTAGTAACGCATGCTTGAACGTAATAATATAGTTCTTCGCTTCTTGGGATGGCTTCTCACGTTCATCGTTTCCTTTCCATGGACTGTGTTGACTAGTTTCTTGCACAGATTTTGTAAATTTACCACAGTGCTCTAACACGATCTGTTTCAAAGCCACTATAGCCTTTAAATTATTGACGGCAACAATCCTATGACGCAGTGCCGTAGTATAAAAAAAAATACTGTCTAACGAGTTAACGCGTCGCAGGTTCGCTATGGCGTTACATACGCGCCTCGATGTCGTTGAGCGGTTACATGCCGCCGCTGTGCGACCCAGTAGACGGCCACCTCCTATTGGACGGCGGTTACGTCAACAACCTGCCAGGTAAACCAATCACAAAGCACTGTTGCTCTGTCGCGTCATGTACAAGGCACGCGATTGGTTAGAGAAGCGAGCGCTTACCGGACCGATTTAGATTGAGTGTAAATATTTATTGTATACCTAGTTCGCGGTTATATTTCATTTGTATGTAGGTGCTAACAATACGCTAGTTGAATCTATGCTTCACTCTTATTTTAGGCTATGTTTTCTATAGTCTTTCACGACATTGCAACTGCCATTTTGTGCACCCATTTATCTATTCTATCCCTTTTAAATAAGTAAACCAAACAAACGATTTCAAGATTGATTCGATCATCAAATATATCAGAAATCAATCATTTCATTATTTTTTTCATATGAATCTTAATTGCACAGATAGACTGCATCTGTTAGAGATGATCTCGGATGTTGTAGAGGACTAGTTACACTGTGTCAATAAGCTCGAAAGTAGGATAGGATGTCAAGATAAGCAACACGGTAAAGTTGTCTTTGGTGTTTCTGCCATAATATTTTGGTTGCAGCCAAATGTACAGGTATTTGCTCGTTCATTTTTGTTCTTTCATAATAGCTTCATATGCGTTGCGACAACGGGTGAATGATAAAATAATACCAAAATCTGATAAAACTCGGTTAGAAGTTAATATTTTATAGATACAGAAACATGCCTGATACAACTAGCTTAGCTGTAAGCACCTAGCCGGTACAGTAGAACGAAAGGAGGTAATATTTACACTCGAGCGCCCGTGGGTAAGTGATGGCAACGCACCGCACCGCACGTGCTCACGCGTCCAGCTCCGCAGGTGTACTGTGGCGGTATTGCCGTGCGTCGATGAGCATCGCGGGCATTTTCCCGCCGATTTGTGACCCAATCGACGGCCACCTGATATTGGATGGATGCTACGTCAATAATGTGCCAGGTTTGTTGAGTTTTGTCACGGTAATATTATCTATACAGTATTATATCTTCATACAAACGGTCGGAAAGCGTGTCATACCTACGCCACTCGCGGCACCCGGTGGGCATCCAGTCGCGAATGCGCCGCAGCGAAGACCGAACGGTGTGAATTGCTTTTCAGCAGTTAGCCGTGCTTAAACGTTTGCATTGTGAATATTTGATTGAATTAAGTAGATACCTACATAATTTAATGTGGCAAAGAGCAATAGTCGATATTGTTCTGTTTTTGGTTGCTTGAACCCTTCAATAATTAAACTTTTTATACGAATGCGTATTTATTATACTATTAAATTTAATAATAAAGCTTTTCGTACGTCTCAGTCGAGGCGTAAATATTTTTCTGTCTCAAATCTATATTTTTTTTTACTAAATATTACACTTAAAATATTGTATTATATGTATTGTAATATTTTATGTAACACTTCCTAATTCATTCACAACATTTTTTTTACATATGAAATAAAATATTTACAATCACAAAACTAGAAAGAAACTCAATTATGTAGATGAAATTAAAATACTGTAGGCGGGCAGCCTTACCGCGTGGATACGCCCCGCTTGGCCGTAGGCAGTTATTTCAAGGACAGGGTCGAGTCACAATACTGTATAAATAATATTACCGTGGTTTTGTTTTTGGAAGATTGATATACCATTACCTTTTGGATGTGAAAAATCCACTTATATGAAAAATAAGTTTCTTTGTTCATTATCGTCATACGTACTTTTCGATACAGTGCGACAAGGATCTTTATGAACGACAGTGACAATTCAGGGATTCTGCCTGTCTACGTAAATACCCTGGAATGCCTGAAACGACATGCAAATGATGATGATAACAAAGAAGACGGCATTAGTTCCTATTTTCACCACCTTTATAAAGATCCTTGTCGCACTATAAACTCTTACATATATAGAATGGACTGAGCGATACTTGCATTAAATTGATAACTCTGGTAAAAAACAGAAATAACATCGATACTGACCACTTTACTTGACAGACAGGAGGACGCAATCCATTTTCTATTTTTATAAATAAATTTGTATTCATTATTGTTTCTTACTCTAATGTAATTGAGCCAACTTAATAAAGCTCATTCAGTGTTCAACCTTAAATTTTATCTTATCAAATTTCAATTATTTCTATTGTCATGTCATGGTCACACTAGAATCACTGGAAATACCAATAGTCCATCAAAATTTTGAATATCTTATTAGTTTTTTAGGACTATTCTTAAATAAAATCTCAAATTAAATACCAAATTTTTAACCTTACAGCTGACGTGATGAGATCGTTCGGAGCGAAGCATATTCTGGCCATAGACGTGGGGTCTCAGGATGACGTGGACCTTACAAACTATGGTGACGACCTGTCTGGCTGGTGGCTCCTGTGGAAGAGGTAAGTTGAAATTTTCTGCTTGCTGCTGCTCATTTGCTTACTGTTTCATGTAGTCTTCGTTAAAGCAAGAGAAATCTTAATCGCTCACATACAAAAAAAAAAAACGAAACAATAATACCACAATGTGGGTAAGGGTATCGCTTGAAGCGATATCTTCCAGACAACCTTTGCAGTAAAGTACAGCTAAACGAAGAGGAAATTAACATTTTTACTAGCGACCGCTTACGACTTTGTCTACGTCAACTTTAGTTCTTTGAGAATCGTAAAATAGTCCAGTCAAATTACGGAATCAAATAAACATGAGCGAACACAGTTTGGGGATTTTGAGGATCGATAGGGGGGTGCATCCTGAGCTTAAGTTCCAATTTGAGGGGCTGTACTGAGGTCAGCTCAAGGTCATTTCGATGCAAACGCGTTTAATTCGATATCTCGAGAAATATCAGTGTTAGCCAAAAAATTATAGAGACCTTTTTTCTTCTAAATGAAATTTATTAACTTTTTTATTAAAAACTTTTTTTTGTAACATCAATATTTTTTAAGTTATTACTCCCGCAAGGCAAAAATTTCATTTTTTTCCCTATTTTTCGTCGTTTTCTCTCCAAACATTCAATTTTATTGAATTTTACCGATCATCAACGTGTATATCTTTTAATTATGCACAATTTTGTTCTTAAACTTTTTTCTGTAACTTCAATACCTTCGGAGTTATTAGACCTCGGGTGCTTAATTTTCCGAATTTTATAACCTATTTTTTGTATCAATAAATGTGTGAAACAGTTTTAATTGTTAATTTACTTGTTACCCAAACAAACCCATAAATTTACCCAAATTAAATACCCAATTTTTAAATAGTTTAATCGATTTACCCTTTTATATTGCGACTTGCGTGGATTTCGCTCGGTAAAATAATATATAACTCCGAAGGTATTGAAGTTACAGAAAAAAGTTTAAGAACAAAATTGTGCATAATTAAAAGATATACACGTTGATGATCGGTAAAATTCAATAAAATTGAATGTTTGGAGAGAAAACGACGAAAAATAGGGAAAAAAATGAAATTTTTGCCTTGCGGGAGTAATAACTTAAAAAATATTGATGTTACAAAAAAAAGTTTTAAATAAAAAAGTTAATAAATTTCATTTAGAAGAAAAAAGGTCTCTATATTTTTTTGGCTAACACTGATATTTCTCGAGATATCGAATTAAACGCGTTTGCATCGAAATGACCTTGAGCTGACCTCAGTACAGCCCCTCAAATTGGAACTTAAGCTCAGGATGCACCCCCCTATCGATCCTCAAAATCCCCAAACTGTGCTCGCTCATGTTTTTTTAGCCCTTTTTTTTCCGTAATTTGACTGGACTAAAAGAACCTGTAATTTTTCCGGGATAAAAAAATTGCTGTCTCAATCCAGTTCATAAACTATACGCGTATACGTACTAAATTTCATCCAAATCGTTCAGTACTTTTTGTGTCATTGAGAAACAAACACACTAACATAACAAAGGACAATGTTAAAATTGGCCTAAGAACCAACATCAATTTGGCATTTATGATAATTCTTAATATATTTTTTACGATAATTATCAGTATTTAGATTGTGACGGACACTTCCATTTAAGTAAGCTAAATTAAAAAGTTAAAAAATAATATGAGACAATAAATACCATTTTATGTGTATAATCTATGGCAGCGCTGCAAACAAAACACTCTGTCTTCCTAATGCCGGCACTTCACTTGGCTATTCGTATTTGCTATTTAAAAACATGACATCAGTCTGTCCTTTTCATTCCTTATTAAGCATGACAAGAACAAACTGTTGTCAAGTGAAGGGCCGGCATAAACTCGATACTCTGTGGTTGTGGTGCAGGCAGTTTGCATTCGTAGTAATTTGTGGCATTTGTGCATTCTTGTCACTTTTTATATACGGAAATTCTCGTTTCGGATTACCTGTTGTATGTGTTTATTTGCGATTGTTTTTACTTTAATTTAACTATTTTGCTATCTAATATGCCATCGATGTTACCAAAGAGCAGAGCCCTTATTACACAACATCCTGAGAGGATCATACTGCCAAATTATTCAAGAACACCTGATACACATTCACGCTGCATATTTACACAATATACATGTGATATACAAATAAATACAATTATGTGAAAAAGAGTCAATAAATAAGAAACAAAACTACAGTTTTTATTTTATTCATGATTCCTACATATCCAAGTTTTTCCTAATAGTTATTCTTTAAAATCGCACCGAATAAAATGAATTAGTTGTAATATTAATTCACTTCATACTGAGTTCATACTAAGTTCATAGGTTGACCTATGTTTCATTGAATACTAAACATAACCTCAAAAAATTTTAGTTTTCCTAATAATTTAAGTTCTTAGAAGTGTCCGTCAATAATCTTTGTTTTTACAGTCATTTACTTACGATTTTGAACCTAGAAAATAATATTTCATGATTGTTGGTTCTTAGGCTAACTATGTATGGACGCTGAACAATGTCCTTTCACATTTAATATCATACTTTTCAGCCTATTAATGTGACCACACTGCTAGAACACAGTCAAATACACTGCTAGAATATGGGCCTTGTCTCTTCATCACTCCTTTTCCGCAGTGATTGCTTACGACTGCAGATGAAGCCAGAATCATCGGTTACACATGCCTTCCGAAGCACGGAGGAGTTCAAGATAATTAATTATTGGTCACCCATCCGATGACCAGCCATTGCGAAAGTTGCTTAGCTTTCACGATCGCAGACCGAACGCGCAAAACACTTGCGCTATCGAGGTCTTCCATTTTATTCCACAATATTCATTATTAACATCTTTGTCTATCACCTTTGGCACATTTTTCATAGACCATTGATCTCATTTAAATAATTTGTTCGATAGATGGAACCCATTCACGACACCGGTGAAAGTGCCAAATCTGCCTGACATACAGAGTCGACTCGCCTACGTGTCTTGTAACAGGCAACTGGAGGTAAGGAACTATGTGTAATAATTTAAATCTATATATATAAAACTCAAAGGTGACTGACTGACTGACATAGTGATCTATCAACGCACAGCCCAAACCACTGGACGGACCGGGCTGAAATTTGGCATGCAGGTAGATGTTATGACGTAGGCATCGGCAGAAAGGATTTTGATCAATTCTACCCCCAAGGGAATAAAATAGCTAATGAAAGATTGTATGAAACTTTGTCAATTTTAAACCGACCGGGCTGAGACTTTGCATGCAGGTATAAGAAGAATCATAGATGAATGTCATTGTGTATAATACAAGCCTGAGAACAAAAACTTTAGTCTACACTTTAGCTCTACACAGAAGCGAAGCGAGGGCGGTCCGCTAGTTGGTAATAAAATATAAATTATGGTTTTACAGATACTTTGGCTGAAGCATCGGTCTTCATTTACTACCGTCCCGCCTGTCATTTACTGGCTAGATTTTGCACCCACCTGTTAAATTTATTTGAAAATTATATCCTTAGATTAAAACAAAAAGGGAAGATACGGAACGCTCATACTAGCATCAAATAAAATATGATCGGCCTCAACTACATAAAAAACTTTCACACACGCACACTTCTGTAAATAAACATGCAATCGAGCGAGCGAGATAGCATTCTACACTTCAACGCAGCGTGAGTCCTCGTAGCTTTGCAGCCGACTGCGTTTTCTTTTCTCTCTCTACTGATGGATAAGTTGTATTGTTGTCCTTTTCTTTATAAAAAATAGTGAATCAGTAACTAACATTCATGGCAAACTGTGATTTAAAAAAAAAAATGAAATGTGTTGTAGTGGCCTTTGTTATTTGATCTTGAAACTATTTGTGTTGTTTATAAAAGCATCGAAGGCTAAAGAAAAATTATAATATTAATTATAATTATAATATTTATCGAATTATAAAGAATTTTATCATTATAACACAGAATATACGCAATATTGTCATATTGAGTGCACATGCATCGTGTTTGGATGTCGAATTGTGACTAAAGCGAATTGTGGTTATGCACCACAATTTAAGCGGATCACTTTAAGCTAAGCCTCGAGTGCCGTATCTTCCCTTTTTGTTTTAATCAAAGCTTATATCAGATCGGTAACAGATATATTTATATTTTGAGAAGTTCCTTCTCCTATCCTTCTTTTATCATCAACATCAAAGATTGTTAGGTCGTTGGTCTTTACTGATTTTTCAATATGCAGCCTTTGTATAATTAGCGTTTTGTCTTGTAAAATGTTAGAAGGCTAACACACATTTCCATTCTAACGCACAGGAAGTGAAGAAATCCGACTACTGCGAGTACATCCGCCCGCCAATAGACGCGTACAAGACGCTGCAGTTCGGCTCGTTCGACGAGATCCGCGAAGTCGGGTACCGTCACGGGGCGGCCTACTTCGAGGGACAGCGACGGGGCGGTGGAGGCGGAGTCAGTGGAGCCGCCGCCGAGGGGCGCAGGCCTGACGCGCAGCCCCAGCTGACCGAGTAAGTGTATGCGTGAAGTATATAGTTTCCTGACACCTGGCGTCCTTTACAAAGCGATAAATAAACCGTACTCTAAAGGCCGAATATTTTTGAACTTCTTATTTCGACAACGGACGACCGACCTTCAGTTAGCATCAATTATAAATAAAATAATAAATAAAAATTTCAACACTCACACCAATTAGCCTAGCCCCAAAGTAAGCACTATAAGGCTTGTGTTATGGGATACAAGGGTAACGGATAGAATACATATACTTTACATATATAAATATATTTATATAGAAATACATTTTTAAACATCCATGACTGGAGTATAAATGCTCGTGTTTATCACACAAACATCTGCCCCTACCGGGATTCGAACCCGGGACCTCTCGAGTCGACGATGCCATGAAACCCGGCGTATAAAACACTCGGCCACGGAGGTCGTCAAATTCCCGGGTGTTTGTTATTAATATGTTAGGCACTTGCAGTAAATGTGTTTTTTTTTGTTATAATTTGTTTTAATACTTCATTGATAATAATAATTTGTTATTATCAATGTCTTTATCAAATAATATTAAAAAAAAGCATTTGTTGAAGTGAAACCTCTGAAAAAACCTTAGTGTATGTTTTATTCAACAGGAAAGGCTTTTGCAACAAAAACTGTTTAATGCTTTGTAAAGTACATTCGACCATAGTGGCAAGAGATTTTAGTAATTGCTTGGGTGTCAGGAGAATAGGGCACAGGCACGGGGTGGTACTTGGAATGCCGGCGTCAGTGGGGCCGCGACCGAGGGGCGCAGGCCTGACGCGCAGCCCCAGCTGACCGAGTAAGTGTATTGGCCTTCTATCCTTTGAAAGAGGCGTGAAGAAGCACCATGCAGGTCGGCAAGGTATTATAACATTCAAAGTGTTTTCAGATAGAGAGGATCTGATCTTGTTGCAAATGTGACCTGCATCAGAAAAAGCTCTCTCTGCTTCGACGCTAGTAGGGAGGATGGATAACAAAATAATTTTAGCACTGATTTAAATGCTTACCTCTGTCGCCACCAACTGTTGTGCTAAGGAACACATCGTAGCTATATAATTCACACTGTTTATAAAGAAACAATAAGTGAAGTTAAGAAGTATTTTTTGAGGTTAGGTTGCAATCTCTACAGATTATCCTAACTTGCACTTTACAGTGTTGCCACGTAACCGAATTCAAAAAAGGATGGTAGTTTAGTAGATTTTTTTAGTAGATTGGTATTATTTGTAGATTATTTAACTAAGTCTCGAAAGTCCCGAAAACTGGAGTTGAGGTCTCGAGTCTCGAAAATGCGACAAAATCGTCGAGACTCTGAATTTACGAGACCAAGAGTCCCGGGATAAAAGCCCTAGTACCTACTTATTGACAACCTCCGTGGCCGAGTGGTTTGTATGCCGGGTTTCATGGTGTCGCCGACTTGAGAGGTCCTGGGTTCAAATCCCGGTGGGGACAGATGTTTGTATGATGAAATGTGAATAAAATATGTATTTCTATAAAAATATACTTATATATGTACAGTATATGTATTCTATCCATTACCCTAGTATCCCATAACACAAGCCTACAGTGCTTACTTTGTGGCTAGGGTATTTGGTGTGAGTGTTGAAAATATAAATTTATTTATTACTGATTGTTTCAACCCACAGCTACACGTTCACGGATCTAGCTCAGATGGTGTGCTCTGTACGCACTGGTCGTGACGTAGACAATGATTCTTCCTCATCCTCGGACTACGAGGACGACCAACGACACTTCGAGGGCTACGCGTCAGAGCCAAGCGCTGGGATACTAGAGGTCAGTGATTCATGAGCTAGTCAAAAATTTAAAGCAGTTAATTTGATATAAACCGCTAATTTGCAGAAGAAACTGCCAATTTATCCCGGCAGAGGTGCAGTCGAATGGCCTATTGCAAAAAATCGAGACAGCTGTCACAAGGAAAACCGATGAATTCCGTTAGATTTGCGCTACGTTCCTAACCTACGCTCCAGGTGCAACTAATGTCAAATTTGACAAAAATTTCATATATTTTATATCAAAATTAAAAAGTTAGAGTAAAATATTGCGCTTAGAGCGTAGGATTAGAATGCTGCTCTGAAGTGACAGATTGCTCGTTATAGGGCAAACGGCCAAAGCGCCATCTGTAATGAGCTTTGCGTTTTCTTCCCAATTAGATCCTATCTGAATGAGGTTTGGTATTCTTTCTTAAAGGATTTGGTAATAAATTAATTGATAAAGAGATAATTTATTAAAAAAAAAATTGATTGCACATTATGGTGTGGAAACACAACTTGACACTATTTAAATTAATTTAATTTAAGTGGTACTTAAACAAAAGGATTTTGGTATCTTTTGTCTTTGAAAATATTGCTTTTAGAAATGGCGGAAGAACTGCATTGACATATCTTAGTAGTCTATTTCATTTATATTCTAACTATAGTTTCAAATAGTATGTCTTATTATATCGCAAATACTTAAAGTTGCACATGATATATATTACAATAAAGTTGCATGATATTACAATAAAATTTAGAACAGACAATGATTGTTAAAAACATATAGTTCGTCTTCGTTACACTAATAGCCTGCGCAGACGAGGCACTTTTATCCGCGGGCTTTTTAGTTCGCTAAAATAGATCGCTCATAACTGCAGCGAGTGACGCAGACGCTGGATTAAAAGTTCCACATAAAAAAGGCCCCGGAACAACCGAGGACGCCGAGAGACCAGACTGGATAAAAGTACGCGGGAGTCCCCGAAAAAAATATTCTCCCCACGACAACGGCTGACTAGAGCCTAGGTCCGAGTCTCAGAGAAGCCCTCTAGTTGAGCCGACCCCCTCAGATTCGAGTGGTCTAGAGGCTCCAGACGGAGAGGAGACTGAAGAAGTAACATGCAGGCCGGCAGGGTGAGGATGACTGGTGTGGCAGGTTGAACTGCTGTATTAGCTATCTTCGCGTCTGGACTTCACCGTCACTTAACATCAGGTGGGGTGGAGTCATTTGTCGGACATATCTATAAAAAAAAACTCCGCCTGTGAGGAGATGCCATCCACCTGGAATACCTCTAGAGGCACTCGCCAATTATGTCCTGCCCCAAACCCGGTGACGCTGTAAAGGTCATCTGCGACTAACAACGCACACAGCAAACTTTAGCCCGCGTTGGGCGCTCAATCCGATTTAAAAATTTCTTCTAAAACGTATTGTCTTTTTCTTAAACTTCATGTTAATTACAACGCAACGTATTCTGAGAATATTTAATTCCATATTCAATAGCGTGCGCTTCTTTAAAATTGCGGCCAACAAATGTTCGCACATCGTGTGCGTTGAGTCCGTGACAAGTCCTCGGCGGACGTTCTTCCACAATTGAAGGACTATTGTCCTTCGTCTGCGCTGGCCATTAATGTAGCTAAGATTCTGATTAAGAAACATTTGAGTATTGGCGGAAAATTCTTTTTCTTTTTAAATTTCTTTGCTATAGGGGTTTTCTAGGTTTTCCTTTAACCCGATTGGTATTGCCCTTCAGATGTCCTCCAGCGTAGAGGAGGGTGCCGCGTGGATCAGTGACACGGAGCTGGTGGGCACTTTTTAGCACAAGCACGCGAATATAGACGGTTCACTGACAATTTTAGGATCACTATTATTTGGGGAACAGGGTTGAATTCTCGATGAGCTGTATTTCTAAATTTGTTAAGCTAAAGGACCAACTAGTTGCTTATTTAAGAAATATTATATGCTTGATTGTGGCACGATTCTATAAAACTTAAAGAAATTTTGACAATAGTATGTCCTTATCGTGCTTTAAAGGAGTGAGAGAGAGAAAAGGAGAGAATGGTGTCAAATGCAGTTTTATGTTTAGTGAAACATGTTAAGCTGAGTTCATTTGAGGTATATTTAAACTTTCCAATGACCGAGTGAATTGTTTCCTAGTACAATTTTCTTAAGATTAATAACATCTAACGAGCGAGTCTTACAGTAGTCGCGTATGATGTGTAACATTTGAAACCTCACCTTATATTAGTAAAAAAAGGAAATAAAACCTACTACAAAAGGAGTAAGTCATTTGAACATTATGTTTTAAAATCAAATCAAATAGCGCGCGCTTCCCAAACTTCCTTGTTACACACTTCCGTCCCACTTCACGTAATCACTACCACTATTTTCTTTTCACAAAATGTGCTTATGAAACACCACCACTTTGAACACATAAGTTATAGGATATTAACAAATCTATATATATAAAACTCAAACGTGACTGACTGACATAGTGATCTATCAATGCACAGCCCAAACCACTGGACGGATCGGGCTGAAATTAGGCATGCAGGTAGATGTTATGACGTAGGCATCCGCTAAGAAAGGATTTTGATCAATTCTACCCCAAGGGGATAAAATACCGAAGCGAAGCGAGGGCGGGCCACTGGTTAAAGTTATAAAACTTTAGAAATACAGCTGCTGTATCAATGACTCTTCATCCAGAATCTCATTTAGATATAGATGTATTATTTTCCGAAGGAGCTTGATACTTAAATTGTTTCAATTAGTAGTCACAAAGTAACTAGAAAATTTTACTTTATCTAATTTTATCGATTTCGCACTCGTTAATAATTGATAAATCCTCATTCGGAGTTTATGCAATATTTTTTATTCATTAGATCTGGATGAAGTGGGATATTGATACTAGAGAAGTAAATGTTAATTATTTTGTCTCTGTCTGAAATCACGCTTATGGGCATGCGTAGATTTTCTAATCTTCAATTTGTTAATGTACCACTCACAAATTGATTTTCAACTCTATTTCATACTACTATATGGGTTGGTATTGGGTCTTCCGATTCTATGTTGCTTGCTTATGTTGAGAAATGGGATGGGATGTTGAATATGCGCTCACTAATTTCTGTTTTGTATAACCTTTTTAATATCTAGATATTAAGAACTGTTATATATTAAAACAGGCTTCATAATTTTTCAATGCCTTTGAAATTGTCTAATAGTAATTTTCAGTTGGATTTTCCATTAATTTGTAACGAGTTCTTAAGTATCTGAATTTTAGACATTGATGTTAAAAGAAAGTTGTTTTAACAAATTTGACTTAACATCGATGGATTAACATTCGTTATTTAAACCAGGTATAGTTTATAATGAAGCAATATTTATTAAATTATCTGACGGACAAAACAAGTTAATAATTAAAATATGAGAAAGATAAGATTTTATATTATGACTCTTTATATCTTCTTCCATCATTTTTAGAAAATGAAGAAATTATGTAGTTGTTCAAAGATTTCGTCATCAATGTTTTGTTTAAAGCACGATGCAGGCCCAGTGCTGGATGCTAACGACTACAGACTTACATATGCTGCTTTGTTGACTTCTGAAAGAGCTAAATACTCGAAAACTATTCAGTCACACGTGCGACTAATCTATTTTGGGCACTTTAGTTTGCTATATATAAACTTGACAACAGGCTGTCCTATTTATTGCCTATAAAACATGATAAGGACATAATGCTGACATGATGCTGCAACATGACAAATAGCAAATATAAATAGCCATGGTGAAGTGCCGGCATATAGATACATCAAATACAGCAATAGCCATCATGGAGATGATTAGTTCTCGGTAGCAAAGCGGTTATAATGAACTATAGTTCATCCGCCCGGACAGCGGAAACCTGCGTCGTCCACATTGATGATACATATGAAATACATAATATTTTTATTATAAAAATGTATTTATATTAATAAATAGAATACCAATACTTTACATACATACAATGCAATTTAAAAGAATAACATAAGGTCGTACTGTAAATTGAATATTATACATATATATATATATATATATATAATACAATTGTACACACAGTCACGAACTCACTCTCCATTTCACACACATACACACACACACATACAAATACACTTGATACTTTAAGAAATCAGTTGTTATGTGCTCAAAATGGTTAACTGCACTAGACTAAGAGCGAGGCATCCCAACACAAGTATTAATATTTACTTTCTGGGTTGTCTCGCCTTGTACTGTAAACTGACTATTTGGGAAATAAAACCCATTTTCATTTTTTCAATACATGGTTATTTCATTTCTAGGAGGGCTTACGCACTCGTCGAGTGGGCGGCAGTCTCTCGCTATCCGAAGACGAGATCGACTCTGAGAGTGAAATGTACGACCCGCTGAACAAACGCGGCGGCGGCAGGTGAGACCGCACGCAGCACGATCTGTGCAAGGCCTTGTTCCAATTCATACAATTCGGGAACAGAGACACTTGTAGCGGAGAATAATTAATGATACAGTTCCAGTGAAACGTGAATCGAGAAAGCGCTCATTCAGTGAGTTAAAAATAGAGAAAATGCAGAAAAGAAACACCACATACATACAGTGATTCGAGATCTTAGAAAACGCAAAGTAGGACAGTGTAGTTCGTAATACCGCGTTAAGTTATTGCGATATATTATATTCAGCGATGAAAACCGAAGTACTGTCTTAGTTCTACACAGGGACACGTGTAAAAGAAGATAATACAGATGTAGATTCAGTGACTTTTGAGAAGACAACACGTAAAAGTTCGGCGACAGAGCGTCGAATTATATAGATATAGATTCGGTAAGGTAAATATAGAAACTGTACATTCACTGTTTTAAAAATAGGGAAAATTCAAAATAGTGCAGTATATTTCGAAACACCACATACTTTCAGTGACTCGAGATTTTTAGAAAACGCAAACTAGGATAGTATATTTTGTAACACCACGTAATGTTATTGCGATATATTTATATTCAGTGACTACAAAAACACTATGTTTGGCTACAGATATACTTGTAGCGACTAATTATACAGATATTTTACACATCCAGTGAGTTAAAAATCAAGAAAAACGCGAAGTAGGACCATGAAGATTGAAAATACCCGCAAAGTTAATCACGTCTTAAGTAAGATGAATACAATGAAGTAAGATGAAAACAATGAATAGTAGGAAATGTTAGGATAGTTTTACGCAAAATAGGAAAATATCAAAATATTGCTCGATACACTGCAAACGCAAATAGATGAATGTAGAAAACGTGAGAGTAGTTAGGAATTTGATTCTGGAAGTTGTCATATTTATTCGTATTCCCCGCGTTTACACCAAGGTATAATACACGTATTTATCAAATTTCAAACACTGTCTTAATTTAAAGAAAAGTTTACTAGAAAAAAATCCACGCGGACCAGGCAGCGGACGGGACTCGAACCCGCATCCTTCGCTATCCGGGCGAATGCACTGACCATTATGCTACCACGGCCCTATTAGCCGCGTCGAAATTTTCCTAGCCTTAAGCTGCAAGGCAGCGCCATCTCTTCGCATTGTAGGTAACCCACAATGTCAAATGAATACTTTTTCAAGTATTAAACATTTGAAAGAAGAAATAGCAATTATAGTTATGTAGCCTTAAGCTGCAAGGCAGCGCCATCTCTTCTCATTGTAGGTCGGATAGCGAAGGATGCGGGTTCGAATCCCGTCCGCTGCCTGGTCCGCGTGGATTTTTTTTCTAGTAAACTTTTCTTTAGATTTAAACATCTAGCAGTTAAATGCTTAAAAAAATAAAAAAAATCATAACTGTCTTAATTTTTTGTTTACACTTATATACATGCATAAAACATGTATAGTTAAACTTGGATAAGTGAGACTTCAAGGGACGAGAGAATTAGTCTCACTAAAAGAGGTATTCCACTAACCCAGGGTCTCAGTTAGCCAGGTGTAAATAAATATCTGTAACAAATATATAGGCAATATTTACACTGCAAGACGGTGGTAAACAAAAGGAAATCTACCCGAATACGGGCGTACTCTTCTCCGTTCGTTTCCACGTAGTCGTTTACCCGAATTTCATTGGCACTGGTATTCGGGCTAGCGACCAAGTGTAATTGCGCCATCAAATATTGGAGATTTATATATTTTTTTATGCATGTAACTGCTTGATGTTTAAATTCTTCTATCTCTTCTTTTTCTTCTTTCAAATGTTTAATACTTGTAAAAGTATTTATTTGACATTGTGGGTTACTTGCAATGCGAAATGCCTTGCAGCTTAAGAATGGCTAGAGGAATTTCGACGCGGCCGTCAGGACCGCGGTAGCATAATTGATCTGTGCATTCGCCCGGATTGCGAAGGGTGCGGGTTTGAGTCCCGTCTGCTGCCTGGTCCGCGTGGAATTTTTTCTAGTTATATTGGAGATTTGTTAGAGAATACTACTACTGCTCAGGCTTAGAGCCAAATCATTAATAATTATCAAAATGATTGGTGTTAATATTGGATTCGTAGAAACATATGATAAAGTAATGAATCATTTATTCCTTATTTCTGACCTCTGAGTCAGATCATTCAAGATATTAATCCAGAACTGCAAAACATATGATACGGTTTTACTACAAAACAGTTAGATATGGTTTCAGAACCTTGATTAGGCAAATTTTGTATGTGTTTCTTTCTTAAACTCAAGTTGAAAGCAGGTCTAACTTTTTTGTGGTAGTAAGAGTAGAATTTAAAATAAACTCTCATCGCGAGTCTAGAGCGCATCTAACAGAGTTAAATTAATTTTAAGAAACGCTTGTGTACAGTCACGTATTTATTATACAATTTTGACAGATGTATCAACTCTAATTTATATTTGTGGAGGCTGTCAAAGTGCGTATATTATATTGCAGGCATATTGTAGATTTAGCCGTAACACTAATGGAGCCGATTCTTTATTACGGTGGATCGTCCATTAGCTGGATTATCATAACAACACAAATTATGAGGATGATTTGGACAAATATGTATAAGCAGAATGGTAAATTGTATGAACGTGCATTCTTAAATAATTAACACCAGCCTATATTTTTGATAGAAAAATATCTGTATTAAAGAAATAATAATAATAAATAAATATTTCCAACACTCACACCAATTATTGTGGCTGTCTGATTAGTAAGCCCTTGTTGCGGAAGGTATTTAAAAAACGAAGGAATGTTATTATGAAATTTAGGACAACATTATAACACCCGTTTGGGTGTTATGTTTATTCAACAACATTTTTGTTGTTGTGACAGGTAGTGCAGCGAATGTTGAATATCGCTTGATATGGCTAAGAACTTGATCAAGTTACATTACGGCTAGCCGTCTTAAGAACGTGAAATGTTCAATACTTCATATTACTTATACTTAATTAATAGAGATGGCGTACTTTCATGTAACCGTTATGGAATCCAGTCTATCGTATTTCATCATAATATAAGGTGGCGTAACTTTTAACACAGCTAGCCGGCACGTAATACGGCTTAATCCATAATTCGTCTGCGATATATACGTAATAATAAAATGTATTGTGCTTTTTGTGTGTGTACATAATGCCGGCACTTCACTTGGCTATTCGTGTTTGCTATTTGTAAACATGACATTAGTCTGTTTTTTTCATTCCTTTAAAATGCATGATAAAAACAGACAGTTGTTGACAACAACAACTCTTTTATAAACTTGGGTTTACAAATAGCAAATACTTGCCATAATAATAAAAAGCTTAGTGAAGTGCCGGCATAGTTAATAGTTATATGTACAACAATTAATGCAAGTATTCCAAAGTATACTGTGATTTTAAAACTACTATGCTGAAGATAGTTAATTTTTTTTCATGAAAGTAGTTGTTATTTGTGATTGTTCCTTACATAGCAAACAAAAATACTTAGGTACTTAGTATGATGAATTACGAAATTGATTTAGGGCGTAAAACACTTAGTGTTGTTATATTGAACATATATTTATTTCATGCGGAATCGTTCGATATATTTTTTGTGTTAAATCAAAAATTTGTGATAATATAATTTAGTTATTATGTGCCATTGTAATTATTTTTGGCATTATTTCAAATGATGGGTCATCCATAAAGCACAAGGGTCCTAAGTTTCGTGCCCTCACATTTCAAAATCTAATACTTTCGAACTTTATACAAAAAAAAACGGTTTTAACATACCTAGAAATGTATGAGTTTTATTTTTTTGGCTAATTACCGGAAGTGGTTTCGGAACTACCGTTTTAATTCAATTCAATTCAATTCAACAGCTGTATAATTTAATGATTTATAGATTCAAAATAATAAAATATGTAACGTCACATTAGGTAAGGGGGACTCATAAATGTGACCAACTGTAACAAGGATGGAGGCGGGGGGGGGGGCTTTATTTAAGCAGCTATTCCTTTTTTTTATGGACAGCTTTTAGTAGTAGGATATAACGTAAATCAGGTGTACCGTTCCGCCAGTGGGCGATGGCTTGCCAGTAAATTTAAATACTAAAATCCTAGTGAAATATACTTACACATGCTTCTTATAATTCCGCGCACATCAGTAGTTATCAAATAAATCACTTTTAAAGTGGATTCAATCATGGTTGTGGATAAAGTATTTATTGCATACAAAACTGTATCTACACCTATGATTGAATCCCTAATCGTTCTGACGTCGTTGCATACAACGTTTATAATTAGGTATTAAAACACTCATGTGATACTATTATCACACGAGGCGAAGCTTCGAATAAATCTACAGACGGTTTTGAATCCCCTTATTTTACAACAGTTGCATAAATAACTATTATGTAGGTATATCTACACTCATGATATGATTTCTCTATTAAAGATTCTGAAACCATGGGGCGTTTAAAGAACTTAAAATTCATGAAAAGTTTCGGCGCTGTGGTTGTGAAACGCGGGTGAAAGACAATGTTTTTTTTAGAAATTCGTAATACCACGAAACCGCAATGAAAATTGTGGCTGTCTGATGAGTAAGCCTTTGGCGCGGGAGGGATTTAAAAAAAATAGTTTTATTATGAAATTTAATACAACATTATAACACCCGTTTGGGTGTTATTTTTTTTTAATTATAGGATTGGATATTTTGATGTTGGCAATAAGCGAACTGTTTTAGAATCTTTAGGGATTTTAAAGCATGGGTGTAGGGTAATAACTATTACCCTACAGCTAGCAGTACTGTAATGTTTTATTTTAAATTTTATGTACGTGTGTTTATAAAGTACGTCTTTATAAAGTCATAATTAAATTCGTAATCGAATATTTCGACATGATTGTAAACAAAAATATTTACGATATTATCTAGACACCGCAATGTCAATGCAACTTATTAAAAATAATAATAAATTATGCTAACTTAAGAATGTAAATTTATCAGCTCACACGTGCAATGCAAAATATTACCTATACCTTAAGATGAAAGTAGCTTAATTGTATCTTACGCCGAATATATACTCATATACTGTACAAACTTCAGCGTTAGTTAATTCTAAGCGAACAAATATTTTCTCATTAGATTTTAAACTTTTCACCCAAAAAATTAAAGTTTAAAATCTATTGGCGAAATGATATTAGTTTTGATGACTTCTTGTCTGTAAAATAAATGCAGGTAGTATTATAAATTATATGGTGCATATTTAGTCTAATCGACTGAATTTATAGCTTTAAGTCCGCCGATGGAGGCACAAATATTGTGTACTAGAAATAAACCAAAATGTAGCTCAATTAATATTACTTTATTGTAATTCCTATCGATTGTATTATAATGAATGAATAGAATAAAATTGTAAAAAAATCTAATGTTTTTCCTTTCCTCCTAGTAATATTATTTTATTGCGATATGATTTCATTCGCTATAAGGCTAAGTTTTATGATTTTTGTATCTAACAAATACTAAAACAAAAACAGAAAAAGTAGATCATCTGTTATTGGTCTTGTAATCACGTGGATCGAATGCATAAGTAGATCATCTGTTATTGGTCTTGTGATCACGTGGATCGAAGGAAAAAGTAGATCATCTGTTATTGGTCTTGTAATCACGTGGATCGAAGGAAAAAGTAGATCATCTGTTATTGGTCTTGTAATCACGTGGATCGAATGCATAAGTAGATCATCTGTTATTGGTCTTGTAGTCACGTGGATCGAAGGCAAAAGTAGATCATCTGTTATTGGTCTTGTAATCACGTGGATCGAAGGCAAAAGTAGATCATCCGTTATTGGTCTTGTAATAACGTGGATCGAAGGCAAAAGTAGATCATCTGTTATTGGTCTTGTAATCACGTGGATCGAAGGCAAAAGTAGATCATCTGTTATTGGTCTTGTAATCACGTGGATCGAAGGCAAAAGTAGATTATCTGTTATTGGTCTTGTAATCACGTGGATCGAAGGCAATAGTAGTAGTAGTAAGACTCAATTTTTAATCAGACAATATATTTCGAAATTGTTTTATACTATAAAGATCAGATTTTGTATGATTTCCAGTCTATAGCTTCTATCAACTGCTGTTTCTTCTCCATCACTCTTTTTATGTAGCTGTGCACGTTTACAACGTAGGCGTTATCACCATAATCGTTTTTGATTGTTTCTACGCCTTCTATGCACATAGTCCTGTAATTGTGCCCATTTTCCAAGCCATAGCTAGTAGTCTCCGAAGTCCCGTCCCATTCTTCATGCGTTCTGATTTTAATATCCTTCACTTTGATCTCCCAATGCATCTTCATGTGGTGCCGAATGTCTGGACAGTCGCAAAGGTTGATCAAAACCTGCATGCATCTCAGCTGTAGAAGCGGTTTGTTCGGGCTGTGGCACAGATGGACGAGGCGTTTTGTGATTTCTACGCAGCGCTCTTTAGCCCGCCATTTCGATTGAGTCGTCAGAGTGGTATAAGCCATCAGACCCGCCGCGGCGATTATAACCTCTATGTGACGGGAGCCAAGGTATCTTCTCAGCACAAACGTCAAATCGTACATGTCTGCCAATTTCATGCCGACCTCGTGCTTGCACAGCTGCGTCATGCAGTCCATTGCCCCGCCTACGATCCTAGGGTCGTTGTTCCGAAATAGTTTTAACATAACCTGAAATGCATTGGCTTTCAACGCCCGCTCAGGGTCCCAAACAGACAAGCGCTCCAATGTTTTCAAATGCAACAGCACGATACCAGTTTGATCACTCTTTATCATTTTCAGTAAATTCTCTACAATTTCCCCGTTTTTCATTATCATTTCGCAAGCGCACCTGTCTCTGGCCAAAGTCCTCAGCGTGTTAGCGGCTGCGTATCGTATTTCTTTTCTGTCCCTCAAGAAGAGCATCATGAGATTTTCGATTATTTCTGGACGTGATGTTATTCGCTGTCTCCCTTGGTAGTACGTAGCCAGGTGAGATAGAATGAGGCAAACTTTTTCGCGGATGACAGGGTTTCGGTTGAGAATTAAATCTATCAAGCGGTAGACGACGTTGAGGCTTATTAGAAACATTGCATTCTCCGAAATTTGTACCTGGAAAACAAATGCGTAGGTACCTATATTGTTTTGAATACGTCACCAAAAACCCTTAATTTCTCCATTATCAGTTATTCAGATAGAGTTGTGGTGCAGCCAGGATCAAGACCTTTTTTTACACGAAAGGACTAAATATTGAGAAGGAGGTTTCTGATTGAATTGAAACGCAAACTGGAAGTGGCGGCGCAGCCAGAACGATACCCACCGCCAAAGCTTCTAACACGATTTTCTATTCGAGTTCATCGTTGCCCTATTTGTATGAAGGAAAGTGCGCGGGCAAAGCATTCCATTTGCGAATATGTTACAAGTCACATGATGTCACAAGTAATGGGAGTGTAAATGAGTCACAAAATGTGTTTGTTCGTCTTGGAGTGGTGAACATACACGAGTGGGTACATCATTAGGGTTTGATGACGGGGGAAATAAAACGAAATTCTATTTAGTTCGTGAGTTACATTATAAAAAAATAATGGACAGCTTTTCTTTCTTTTGCCAATTAAGCAAAAAAATACAAAGATATAAGCGCCGCAAAGTTTGGGAGTGGGGGCTTGTGACGTCACTTCTAAGCAGAAATTGTAGCAAGATGTGAGGTAATCGGACATTTCAAATTAATAAACCTATTTCTGTAATGTTTTGATTTTGTGAACAAAGAAAACAATTGGTGTACTGGAGGCCGATCGCGCTTAATGTCAAACGACTGAAACGCATTGAACCGTAAACGAAACGCAACTTTTTATGACATTTCGTATCGCGCTAAAGTTTTGACAGCTAGTTGAGATGTAAACGTATCACGATTGGACCGTACTCCAGTCGGTCAAAAATATAAAGTAGATTTCAGTTGACAGGTGAAAACTAGCGCGTTACCGATTTCGTATAAAGTTTAGTTGCAATTAGAATTAGACTAAGATTGAACCATGATTGAACTTAGGCGGGTCGTTCATAATTATAAATAGCACGATGGTCCTGCAGTACTTTTTCATAACATCCTGATGGACGAAGAAAAAAAAGTAGTCATCATCCCGAAATCATTTTCAGACTTCTTAAACTCAACCAAGGGGAAAAGTTGATCGGTGGAAAGGTTTTATTGCTACATCTGTTACCCCACGTCCTGTTTCACTGCCAGCCTTGCAGAGTTGGTTTTGAAATATTTGTAGTAGTTCAGGGAAGGTTTGGTGAAAATATGGAAAAATTGCGAGATAGATAGTAATAACATCAATTTTATTTCCCCATATAAACTGTTGTACCTACTTTCCTGTCAAACATTTTTTGATGTTCGTCCTTCAGTACGGCAGACTCAGGTCTCACTCGAATGTAAAAACGTTGTTTAGTTTATCGCGTATTTAAATTTTAATCTTTCATTTCCTCCAAATTATTGTAAGTGGTACGAACTTTTCCGGGTCAGCTAGTTCTAGCTCTCAGCTCGGAAGGCACGTTAAGCTGGTGGTCTCGGCTGCATCTGCAGTCGTTAGCACCCATCAATCCGCATTGGGCCCGCGTGTTAGGTCGCGGCTCAGTCTCTCTATGGCCGTATACAGAAAGAAAGCTGGTAGCCTACCAGCGCTTATATGGACCGGTTAACCGGTTCGCGCAGGTAACCGGCGCAGGCATTTCTATGGACCTGCGCCGATAAGCGCCGGACGTTGCCGACAATCTTCGATACGCGCTGGTCAGCGCTGGCACCACCCTTTGAAATTAATGTACAGCTACGCTTCAATCTGCTTCCATTATGTAACTGTTACCAGTAAGGATGGTCGGCTTCCAGCATTCTTTCTGTATACGGCCTATTCCACCCATAGGCAAGGCCTGTACTCCCACAGTTGGGACATCCTGCACCACCGACAATTCGTTTACTGCGCAGCTATTTGTGCAGAACTTTACAGCCGCCACTGAATCGCACTATACCTGATCCAAGACACTATGTAAAGCCTGCAGTTGCTTCAGATGGTCGGGCGAGTGGAGCTCCCTGTTGATGATGCGTAGTCCGACCCTGCCGAAGCCGAGCCTAGCTCGCGTTATGTCCACGTGAGGAGCGTAACACGACGGCTGCATCGACTCCAACCGCTGCGCTGGTGGCGGCTCTGGGTTGCGTTCCAAGAATCGAGTTTTACTTGCATACTTTTGGTTTTAAATCATTCCTTTCTTTCTTATAAAATGGCAGTAGTTGTTGAGGTGAGAAAGGTAAAATAAAGTAATATTAAAATTACATGTCTATTTAAAAGTATATAAGCATATAAAAGCTCAAGAAAATCATGAAAACCGCAGGAGAAAGGTAACAAAAGTTGACGACGCTTCTTAGAACAAGTTATCTAATCATATTATTTCTTGCCGGTTCTTCTCAGTACAAGGTCTCCCACCCGAGGGCGGATCCAGCTTTGGCGCCAGGGGGGGGGGGTCATATAGTCGTGGTATATTAAATATTGAAAGTACTTAAATAAAATCCCCCTGGGTTTGGTCCATCTGTACCCAGCCCAGGGGGGGGTCATGACCCCCATTACCCCCCCCCCTGGATACGCCCTTGCTCCCACCGCAGATTTACGAACCCATGGCGTAGCGTTTGACTTTCACATGAGCTTGTAACAGTCTAGACTGAATAAATGAGTTTGAATTTGAATATTACAACGCTTAGTTTTAAGTACCTATCATTATCAGTCTATCGATTTGGAAAAAGGATAAGATCAACTGCATCAAATTCAACCAACCAGATTAAGGATTTGTTTGTCAACTTGCTACTGTGCTTATTACATCTAAATTTAATTTATTTAATAATAATAATAATATATTCTTTATTGTATAACACCACAAAGGGCATAACAGTAAGATTACACGGACAGATGGACATCTCTTCCAGGCAACCCATGACGGAAAATTAAATAAGTATATAAGAACAAAAAAAACGGGGAAGGGTGTAAGAGCAATATTATAAATTAAATAAAAACGGTAATAATAATTCAGATGCATTTTATATGAAAAAAAAAATAAAAAAAAACAAGTAAATAAAGGAAATAGGTATAAGTAAAGATAGGAAATGACGCTTAAAGCTAATTATTATTATTTATATGGCATTCAGAATAAATAAGTTAGTATTGTCCTTGAAGCTTTTTTCGATAGAGCTCTCTAGCTAATTTACTTATTCGAATCGACAAATGTAATAAACGTGTATAAATGTAAAAAAACACACCTGTGTGCGGATCAAAGTGGTTTCGCTCCATGGCTTCATCTACTGCTTTGTTAATGACGCGAGGGTTCATGGCACATACCAGCTGCAGGTAAGAGTTCTTGTGGGGGCAAAACATTATTTGAATGTCGTCAATTTAAAATACTTTAGAAAATTGATGAAAATGATCTAAAATTATAAACAGATATGATTGACAGCAGTGTGACAGGTTCGTCGTTTACAAATGTATTTTTTTAATTTTCATCCCTTTTATTTGGTTAGGTAAAAATTGTGGTACTAAAATAGTGACCACTTTAGATTATTGATTAAATCCTCTTTTGATTGGAAAATGAATTTCTGACATTTGACAAGACGAGATCCAGAAGAACAAAATTTTGATAGAACAAAATCATTTGTCATCCTCGGTAGGTGGTTTGTAGTTAAAATCCCTAAATTTCAGTTTTAGGCAGATGGAAACTTAAAAATTAGCTAAAATGGGCCTCGACGGTGGCATAGAGGCTGGCGAAGACGACAAGGAGAAGATCAACCAGGACGTGATGCTGTTCCTTCGTAAGCGGAGTGAAGCGGAAGTGCCTAGGTATGCCACTCGTCTGAAGACTTACGTCAGCTTGCAGCATAAAAGGCAGCGCGCGGCCGCAGCTCGTCGTCACTCGGAGCAGAAACTGAAAAATCCAAGTGGGTTGAAGAAGAAAAATGTGGAGAACAACATGACTTTGGAGACGACGGAGAATCGGGGAATGGGAGGGGAGGAGCGGGCGGTGAAGCCACGTCGCGGGGAGAAAGCAGGTGGTGTCGGGTCGCGGTCTCAGTCTCAGTCCGGCGAGCCGGTGGACAAGTGCGGGCGTCGTCGCCGTCGCCGACGTAGCTGTTGCCGCCGGAGAAGGCGTCGCCGCCGCAGCTGCGGCCGTCGCAGGAGACGAAGGAGTTGCAGCCGTCGCAGGAGGCGTAGGAGCTGCCGCCGCCGCAGGAAGCGATGCCGCCGTCGACGCAGGAGGTGTTAGGCCATGCGTCTAATGTCTAATCAAGTCCATCTGCCGATTTTGAGTAGCTGTTTGTAAAGATTTTTCTCCGTTTAATTTATTTACTCCATCTTTAGATTGTTTTCCGTGTTGATTGTTTGTTTTTATAAGCACCAGTTTTATTTTGTTAATCCTGATTAGTTACCACCTACACTTTCTCAGAATTTTATTTTTATGTGCATTGTTAACTTTTGTGGCTTATTAATATTAAATGAGATTTTATAATATTTCTTTGTTTTTTTAACGATACTCAGTGCCAGATCAACCAAATGTATTTTATTCAGAAGCCATAGTTAAACTTCTTTTTGGTGGAGGTTACTGCTCGGCTCTTCAGACTCTCATTTTACCGAGAAAGCTCAAAATTGTTGGGAATAAAAGATGGTCCTGTCTGTCCAGGGGTGTATTTTAAAATTATCCTGTACCTACATCTCGTAAGCGAATAGATTTGTGTAATTAACTATTGCCAGTCAAGATATTTAGTTAAAACCTCGATATAGGTATTCATAGATCAAGTATAGCAATGAATGTGGCTTGAATTGTACACTGTTGAACACGAGTGGGTTCAGTTCCGTAGCACAAGCACAAGTGCGATTTTTATCACGTGTAGGGTTATATTTATTAGCATTAAAAATAAAGTAATAATAAACGTATAAAATTGACTTTATTTTTTAAAGTTACAGTAAATTACATGGTGGAGATTGTGTAAGTTGTTAGATAAAATTTATCTTTTACTTATCGTTTGTTTAGCCGAAAAAGGTTTTTAACAACAATAACATAATTACCATTCGGCTTATAAAATTAGAAAGAGCTTCCCTGGTCTGTGCTATAGAGGTGGGAATACAGCAAGTAGTAGGGCTAAATTAACTTTATTTTCTAGGGTAAGCTCGGAAGCCTTTTCTTCGGCACTTGGTGTCGACGATCAGCTGCGCTTGCCTCTTCAGATAACAACGTGAAGGTATGTCCTCCTCTTCATCCGAAGCTGGAAACAATATTGATTTATATAGTTAATATTAGTAAATTCCTGCCTGAAATAAAGTACCTAACCAATAAGTAACAGTCAGTTACTTCAGAACATTCCGAAACCCCAATGAAAACTTGGAGACATCTGTGGAGACATAGATCGATCAAGTGATATGATCAACTTTAAAAAAAATATCATCGTTTCTGAGTGCAGAATTAAGTGAACATAAATAAAACAGGACATTTTTCCGGAAGCCAACGCTCTTATCAAACTAGGTTAGCTAACCACATTTTGTAGAGTTCCCTTATACATATTTATGTACCAACCATAATTTAATAAAAAATACATTTATGATTTCGAAATCGTTACCATTTAACTTAATTGTATATACTTAATGTTATCAGCAAGGTAGGACACAATATTTTTTTCTGCTCAGTTCCAAGTTTCCGTCTGCTGGTATATACCTATACTGCAGATGCATCAGCAACAAATGGCTTAACATGCCCTTGGAAACACGGAGAAACTCGAAATAATATTTTTTTGGTGACCAGCTCTTGGCCGGCTATTGTTAAAGTTGCTTAACTTCGACGACCGAAGTTCGAACGCACTCGTTACTACTTTTCCAACACATTGACTCAAAGAATGCATTTACGGAGGTTGTATACATTGTATGAAAATTTCAATATTAGGTAAAAAAATTAGTTAGTGACCATGAAAGTTTAAAACAATATATTGGTAAAAAAAAATACCGCACGCTCCCATACATGACCGCGTGCGTATTCTTTGTTTTTTTTTATTTCATTCGTAACTCCTTGGAAGCGCTGTAAATCTATATCTGTGTCTTACTTTAATACTAAAAATTTAAGGTAAAAAAACCTTTTTAAAAACAAGCTTTTATTTAAATGCGCAAAAAGAAAAAAATAAACTTTTACTGTTAACTTATAACGTCATTTCAAATTTAACACATTTGATACAATTTATCTACTATATAAAAATAAGTCGGGTTTTCCTTCCTGACGCTATAACTCCAGAACGCACGAACCGATTTCCACGGTTTTGCATTCGTTGGAAAGGTCTCGGGCTCCGTGGGGTTTATAGCAAAGAAAATTCAGGAAAAATTATAAAAAAAAATCTTCTTTTAATCACCATACGAAATGTTACATAAAAAGAAGCCATCTGGTGGCGAAACGGAGTTCGCCGGGTTTGCTAGTATGTTATATAAGCTTGTCGCGAGATTGAAGTACTCGTATTTACTTTCTTAGTTTTAAAAATTTTAATAGGCAGCATTAATCATTTAAAAAAATATATATACATAAAACATATTCCATCTTATTATTATCCTATTCCATCCATAGGGAAGGCCTGTGCTCCAGCAGTGGCGACATTAATAGGCTGATGATGATGATGATGATATACATAAAACATACACATAATTTTTTGTCTCAAATCAATCCCAACTCAGCAGGTGCTGATGTTGCCAATTGGTATTTACTTACTCGTGACTATGGCAAACCCTTGACTTTGTATCGGGCTTACATTCGTCAACTCCTTCGTAATAACTAACTTACCGCACTAATATCATAAATAACTATTGTACACGGGGTAAAACTTGAATGCCTTGTGTATGTGCCCTGTGCCCTCGCAGCCTGTCTACCTGGGCAATAGAACTTTTTTTATTACGCAGGCAAAATAAGGCAGGTTAAGGGGCACACCAACCAACGGACCTCACTCGTAGCCTCTCGCAAGTCTCACAGGTGCGAAACGGAAAAGCCGTTAAGCAGTCCGCGCGGCTTACAAGCGCTTGCTATCCTATCCGCTAAAAAACCCTACGAATACCTCTACGCTGTTAAGTGCGGAGCCGCGAGATCCTCGTTGAGGTACTTCATAGGCCTAGGCTTAGGGTAAATACGCCCCTGGCTTTGTACCAAAACGTTTCTCCCTAATCTTCGGCGGTGTGCCAGTGATTTTATACTCACGCGGTGCCTTAACAGGTTCCTTCTGCAGCATTTCCTTGTATGTTGGAACCGCTTTCTCTACTTCCTTGGGCGTGCTCTGACTGCCGCTCATGCCAGCAACGGAAGATGGACGACTTGTGGGCTGTAAGAAAATGCATTGTGAATTAATTTAATTAATAATAACCTAATGGAAACGTCCATCGGTTTGCCGAACTATGTGCCCTGCTCATTGCCACTTCAGCTTTACGATCCGCTGAGCTATGTCGGTTATTTTAGTTCTAAGGATTTCATTATTTCTGTTCGATCACGTAGAAGAACACCGAGCAAAGCTCTCTCCATCGCTCGCTGTGCGATTCCAAGGCTTCTTATGAGTCCCATCGTCTTAGTTTCGTATGTCATCAATTGGATTCGGTGGTTTACCTCGTTCTTGAAATCAGACTAACTCAACTGGACTATTTGTTCCGGGTATTTGTCGACAATTTTGAGTGAAGTTTTCAATGATTCCCGCGAGTTAGACATAATTTTGATTTTGCTCATGTTTATTTTAAGGCCTACTTGTTGAGAGGCTCTGCTAAGGTCGTTGAACGTTGCACTCAAAATCCTTTCTCCATTAAAATGTCTGCCATAACGACTATATCATCGGCAAATCTTTAATTCTTTCGATATTAAAGACCCTAATACCGCGTAACTGTGACTTAGAGATCTGTCTATTAATTTGCCGGTAGGCTGCCGCATCCGCTGAAGACTATAGTCTAATTTTTGTCTCACTCTCATGAGTCTGAGAGTGTATTCAGAGAACCTACTGTGTCCTTTAGTTCTGTGAGTCTTACAAAAAATGGACTTCACACCGTGGACAGTTTCGACCAATCTGTTGTTTATTTCGTCTATAGATACGCAATCTTATAAACAAGTGAAACGAATTTGTAGTTCGAGTTGGAAACTTTCCGGGTCTTGGATATGTGCGCGAGTGGGTCGGAGCGTTGACTTCACCATTCGAGACCTTTCTAGCTTAACATTGATATTCAATGTGCCTCTAACCATTCGGTGATCACTACCAGTTTTCACCCTGTCGATCGCAGTTGTTTAACATGCTAGAATACTAAATACGAGGAAATTTTCGAGAATGCATGGGGAATCATCGAAAGACGCGCGATCATTTTATTCATGTGTATGTATGTAGCTTCAAAATTTGTGAACCATTTTTTGACCACTTCTTTTTATCCAATTCAGCTGAAATTTGGCATACTTATGTAAGTGTCTGGTGACAATACAAAAATATGGCACCATATAACTGATCGGATGATGGTGCTGGAAGGTGGCCATTGGAACTCTGTAATGAAACGCAACCCCATCAAGTTTGGGCTCGTTTGAGGCTCGTTCGTCTTGTACAACAAAGTACTCGTTGTTTTTAGAAGGTATCCAGGATCTGATGATGGAGCTGGAAGGTGATCATAGGAACTATAAAATGACAATTACTATCGAATTTGGGCTCGTATGATTAGTCTTGACGAGTACTTTAGTCCTATATTGTAAACAGGGTCTGATGATGAAGGTAGGTAGGCCCATTAGGCTTATAAAGTGTCTGATTATATTTCAGACAAAAATGCTTGGGTTTAAACTGTTCCAAGCGTTCCGGCAGGCTTTTTCTATAATTATGATGATGATGCGCGGCTTGTTAGCGTCCCTGTAACCTTCTCACGTTGGAGGGTCCCATACCCTCCATATTGCGGTAATGTCCCCGTGTTTCTGCCTCACTAGCCTACTCACGTTGGAGGGTATGGGTATTGCGGTAATGTCCACGTGTTTCTCCCTCACTAGCCTACTCACGTTGGAGGGTATGGGTATTGCGGTAATGTCCACGTGTTTCTCCCTCACTAGCCTACTCACGTTGGAGGGTATGGGTATTGCGGTAATGTCCCCGTGTTTCTCCCTCTCTAGCCTACTCACGTTGGAGGGTATGGGTATTGCGGTAATGTCCCCGTGTTTCTCCCTCACTAGCCTACTCACGTTGGAGGGTATGGGTATTGCGGTAATGTCCCCGTGTTTCTCCCTCACTAGCCTACTCACGTTGGAGGGTATGGGTATTGCGGTGATGTCTCCGTGTTTCTCCCTCACTTGATCGGCTCTCACACGTGCGGTTTGGTAGCGGACGGAAAGAACGCGGACTACTGCCTGCACATCGCGCGCTTCCGCAGTCCACTCCGGCATCACGGGCTCGGGGACCATCTGGTGAAGAAGAACAAGGATCCTAAGCAAATGCATAGTTGCTTATTGCGGTCACTTTTGGCTTAGCAATGAGGGCAGTGACAGACAGTCTTCTGTGATGTGTAAACTTAACTCTTCTCAAATTCATTTATTTAGTTCGAGTTTTAATAAAATAGATTACGGTTCACAAATCTACGTGGGGAGATTTTGCACTGAGAAGAATCGAAAAGCTCAGTAAGGACCTTTTATGGAGCTGGATTTTGCTGGCGGAAATCCTTTCGGGTGCAAACCTAAATTCTACAGAAGAGTAAGTAAAATTTTTGAAATTGTTTAATTTAGACTTACATCCAAAATTTTGCAAAGATCGTAAAGAAGCCGCTTGATTTCGAGAAGTATTGTTTCGAGCTTTTCAAGGTCTTCCGCAAGTTCCCTGTGTATTCCGTCTTCTTTGCTTATCTCTTCTTTCAACTCGTTTATCAATTCTTGACCTCTGCAAAAAAAAATACGAATTAGATCATTGCAGCGATATTGGAACTAATAATAATATAGTTTTTGGACTCTTCTTCCTACCTTATCTTGGCGGACCCGAACTTGAAGGCCTTCAGCTCGGCCATAAGGGCCAGGCCGTCTGCGAGGACTCCAGATCCAGTTTCTCCTGTTCCGTGGTATGCTGAAGGTAGCTTAGCAGCTTTTTGGACTCTTCTGGGTAGGTACGGCCAATTAAGTTACATACTCATCCTTATCTTTGACGGAGGCGAACTTGAAGGCCTCCAGCTCGGCCATAAGGGCCGTCTGCGAGGACTCCAGCTCCAGCTTCTCATCCATGCTATTCTGAAGGAAGCACAGCCGCTTTTTGGTCTTTTCTGAGTACTAAAGTAATTCCACTCACTCATCTTTGTCCTTGACGGAGGCGAACTTAAAGGCCTCCAGTTCGGCCATGAGGGCCGCCTGCGAGGACTCCAGATCGAGTTTCTCCTGCTCCGTGCTACTTTGAAGGAAGCTCAACCGCTTGCTGGTTTCGCGCTGAGCGCGGAATCGGTCGAACACTTCCTCTGTGTCTGTAACACCTGGGAACAAGGAGTTGTTGAATTGTAGAATCTCGTTTTGCTTGTGTTATTATTATTTTGTTTTATGTAATTTGATAGACAAATGACTGCCTATTACCCCACCTGATGGTAAGTGGTGGTAAATTCTAGACGAAAAGATAATGAACTAGCAGAATTGTGCGTGTCCGAATCGCACTTGGTGGTATCATGTGTTTGTTGTATGAAAAGAGTGGACTGTATTTATAAAGACTTGAATATAGTTAAGTAACGCGGGTTGGACAAATCCTGCAACACGTAATGGGAGTACGCCTCACCAAAACTTCTATAGAGTCTGTGATCAAAGAGAATGGGATTTAGATTGGAGGGCGCTGTAGTACTTTTCTACCGTATTTGTGAGGTTTTACCCCTTTTAGACATGATTAAATACAAAAAACCGTAAGAAATCACAACAACAAACTAATCCGTATCAATACAAAACTTTGATGTTTTACAGATTGCTGGGTTTGATTGCCAAATAATTTTTTTAATGTTAGTTCCGTTTTTCGCCACGCCCATTCTCTTTCCGCACAGACTCTTACAACCGGATTCCGGCTGGGAAACTGCAGTCCAAAGTCCAGAGCTTCAAGAAGGCGACGCAAAACAGTGAACAGCACAATGTAATATTCGTAGTTCCACTTCAAGGTCTCTTCTTGAGAAATTACGACAATTTGGATAATTAAACGCACGGCGTTCTCACAGACGGCCCGGGTGCTTCGACGTGAAGTTATAATATAATAATATTTCCAACACTCACACCAATTAGCCTACCCCCAAAGTAAGCACTGTAAGGCTTGTGTTATGGGATACTAGGCTAACGGATAGAATACATATACAGTACTTATATTTATATAGAAATACATATTAAACATCCATGAGTACAAATGCTCGTATTCATCATACAAACATCTGCCCCCACCGGGATTCGAACCCGGGACCTCTCGAGTCGGCGACACCATGAAACCCGGCGTACAAACCACTCGACCACGGAGGTCGTCAAAAATTTTATAAAGTTATAAACTAACTTTTTTCTCCCGGGGGCCCCCTCTTTCTATTGGTGCGAATTCATCATCACGTCATAGGTGGAAGAGCAGGTAGTGGTTATATCAACTATTTATCACTTCGGGAAACGCATCCCACTAACTTAATTGTACCTACGAAATGTACAACCTCGAATATATACTTGACATGTGTCATTCTAGAAAAATAAAAAGTGACAGCATTACCAGTGAGTTTCATGAGCCTCTGGAAGATCTCTTCCATTTGTGCCGCAGCAGAGACTTCTTCTGTGACTGCTTCCCCATCTGTAGACCGCGCCGATTCCTGACGCACTACCACACGGGCTGTAATAGCAAATCATAATTCTTAACATTTTTATTTATAAGGGTAAGCTCGCTACGTCCTAGATCCTATCTCTGCTCTGAGGCTTGATAGAAGATCAAGAGCTTATTCGTTAACAAGATGAAAAATATTGTCTAATAAGGATGATGACGGGGTTAAGTATCGAAATTCTGTTTTTACCGTAAGATACATATGTTATCGAAATATAATCAACACTTTTTTGTTCTTTTGTCAATCGACAAAAAAAACTACAAAAGATTCTTCTTCTTCTTGCTACGGGCGTTTCCGCAACTCGACGTCCTTATGGCGCCTGTTTTGCGTGAGGAGGGTGTATGGCCGGAATCACTCCAGCCAGCCCAGCTCCGCCAGGAAGGCCCCCAAGGCCTTCACATTGGTGATTGCCTCTTGAAGGTTTCCCGGTGAGCCGAGGTATTACAAAAGCTTAAAGCGCGTCAAAGTTGGGGTGTGGGGTCTCATGACGTCACTTTTAAGTAAAAATTGTACCAAGATATGACGTCATGCGACATTTTAAATCAATATATCTCTTTAAGTTTTTGATTATGTGAAAAAACGTGTCCAATACTTTTTGATTACCTGGTTTATAGTACAGATTACTAGGCTTCACAAAATCAATAATTCATTTAAAGGTCTTTGTGTTCGCTTATACAATAAAGTCCTAAGCAATATCCAAGAGTTAAGCATAAATAAATTCAAAGATAGTATAAAAAAGCACTTATTAAAAAAGCTTATTACAAAGTGTCTGATTATATTACGAAGAAAAAAGTTATTCAGCATTCCTATTTGTGTATAGTAGTACAATGTAGCGCCAACATCAAACAGTCTTTTGGATGTTATTATGCATATCGCACGTCACAAACAAAATATCTCGCTCCGTGCTTAGGAGAGCACGTTAAGCCATTGGTCCCGGCTGTCGTTAGCACCCACCAATCCGCACTGGCCCTGGGTGGTGGATCATGGCCCGATCTTCCTTTTCCATCCCATAGGGAAGCCCTGTGCCGCAGGAGTCCGGACATTAATAGGCTGTTGATGATGAGTGTAGATAAAAAAAAAAGCTTACATTGCGGTGGGAATATCCTCTTCTCCAGTTTTTCCAGCTCTCGCTTCCGCTCAGCGAACCGCTGCGCGAAGTACGCTCGCTCAGAATGACGCGCGTGGTCGGCATCATGCGCACGCGCCGCTTCTGCCGCCGCGGCACTGGTTGCTCGCACGCGCATTGCTGCCGCCTCCTCGCGGACTGACTGACGATACATTAACATTTAATCATCCTGATAACGTCCCCCAGCAGCGGCAAAGGCCTACCCTACGGACACGGTTTTTTTTCTTTATTCACATAATCAAAACATTAAAGAGATATATTGATTAGAAATCTCGCATGACGTCACGTCTCGGTACAATTCTTACTTAGACGTGACGTCATGAGACCCGTGACTGCCACACTTTGACGCGCTTTAATTTTTTTGTCAATTGACAAAAGAACAAACAAGTTTTGATTATATTTTGATAACATATGTGTCTAAGGATCCCTATCCTATCTCAGTCATTCTCTATGTCTCCCTAGATATTCGCTTACCAACACGCACGAAATAACATAATATAACTTAACCAACTTGCTCGAAGTACACGCGCCTTCTCCGCTGCCGACGTGGCACACACGCGCAATATCCGCGGCTTCCTCGCGGACTGACTATATTACAATCTTCATACTCATAGATAATGGCTTCAGAACTCCCTAACTAACTGACGCGAAGTAATATAACCTTTTTTTAACGTGGGGAAATGCATGACGCATACCCGCTCAATAGAACAAAAAGGTGAGCGAGTTATATCGGACTCTCCACTGCCCACACACTGTACGAAAACAAATTCTCTCTAATTGGTAGGAACGGGCTTCAGCGAATGGGTTGCGGAATCGAAGTAAGACAGGTCATGTCATCGAAATAAGTAATTTATCCTAACCTAACCAACTCGCGCGAAGTATGCTCGCTCGGTAGGCGCGCGTGGTTCCCCCGCCGCTACCGTCGACTCACGGACTGACTGAAGATATAACAATCTTTATACATATTATAAAGAATGGATTGAGCGTTCCTTAGTGTCGCCGCACACGGGCCAGCGTCCACAACCACAAAACGCCTCCACCGGCATATTTCTTGTAGTTTTCATACATTTTATATGGCCTCGCCACACACGGTACGCCGTTGCTCGCTTCTTGTGGCCCGCACCGGCCAATTAATGCGCCGATACAAAACGCCGCCACACATCACTCGCGCGATTCCCCATTCCTCTCTCCCTTACTTTAGTCGGCCGCTGTCGCGCGCTTCAGCCACTATAGTAGCCGCTTCTGGCTTCTCATGGCGGCGTTTGTGTCTGTGGCGAGTGGCCCGTGTGCGGCGACACTCAACCAACTCACGTAAAGTTATCTAACTTAACCTAACCAAGTTGTGCAAAGTCATCCAACTAACCTAACCATTACATTCACGTGAAGTAGGTCGTCGGGGTGGGGTGAGTGGTTCCGCCGCTGCCACTGCACTGACGGTACATCAACCCTCAATCATCATCATCAATCTTTTAATGTCACTAATTTTGGGGCACATGCCTTTACTACGGATGGTATAGAGAGACAGAAAATGGACAGCAGCAGGTGCAATCGGAATGGCGCAACGTGGTTCCACCACCGCTGTTTCCTCGCGGACTGACTGACATAATAAAACCAAATAATAATAGACATGAAGACAAGGGCGGATCCAGGGGGGGTCATGGGGGTCATGACCCCCCCTCCCCCCTGGGCTGGGTACAGATGGACCAAACCCAGGGGGATTTTATTTAAGTACTTTCAATATTTAATATACCACGACTATATGACCCCCCCCCTGGCGCCAAAGCTGGATCCGCCCTTGCATGAAGAATGGACTGTGTGCGATTGTTTCCTAGTGTAGACCTTTTAATACCGAGCCATCCCTATCAGTTTGATAAAGTTGAGAGAAAAAACATATTTCTCGCTTGAAAATTTTAAGCACATAAATACAGAACGCGCCAGTAGCGCGACAAGCTATTGTATCAATAGTTCAAAGGCTTTTTTTCACAACTTTTTTTTAAATAATAAATAATAATAATAAATAGAACTTAAGTAAAATATGGTTTACCTCTAGTTTTGTTATTTCTTCTTTTTGCCTATTCAGTAATTCTTCGACATGAGACAATGAGCTTTCGAACTTTACTGAGTCATCAATAAGTGCTTGTCTGCAAAAAGAAAATACATATAATTACTTTTAATTAAACCGCTACTGTCATTTATACGCTAATAGTTGGATTTTAATATAAAAAGTTTAAAAAACAAGCAATGAGTCCCCCTAAATTTGCCCAGCCGCAAGGTCTAGGTCCGTCCTTCTAAAAGGGGTTACATAGCGGATGAAAATTGGAAAGGACGAGCACTTAGGTATGTGACTATTTACAGTTTTATTGGTTAGATATTTTTGAAACACTGTAAATAATTGACAAACTAAGTAAACACCATACCAACTTAGAAACCTTGCTTGTAACAACGCTTTACATAAGATGATGATAAATTTGTAATACGAGGCGTAAGTACGAATGTGAAAGAGCTTATCTTTTATATATTAAAAAATATTTAAATCTGAAGAATTTTTTTTAAATAAAAATCCACGCTGACCAGGCCGCAGACGGGACTCGAACTGCACCCTTTGCTGTCCGGGCGAATGCACTGACCATTATGCTACCGTGGCCCAACAATACGGAGAGATGGCGCTGCCTTGCAGCCTAAGAAATACTAGAGAAATTTCGACACGGCCATCAGGGCTGCGGTAGTATAATGGTCAGTGCATTCGCTCGAATAGTGAAGGGTGCTGGCTGATGAGCAATCTTTTTCCTTATCGTGCCAATATTTACTATCAGAATTAATAGCGGGGCACGATTTGCACAGAATTATTAGTAAATCAAATCAATTTTCTTTAGGCTAGAAGAGGCCAAAACACTTATTAAACTCTTTAAAACTTACATCTTTTGGTTGTTCTTTACCTGATGGTAAGGTACTTTTTCTTGACCAACTCTGCTTCACTCCATTGTATGAGCACTTTGTGAATTTCGTTTTCGAGATGTGAAGCATGCTAAAAATTTATAGACCAATAAGTTAAGATTTATTATATACTAGTGGCCCGCCCTCTCTTCGCTTCGGTGAAGAGCTGTACAGTAGATTTAAATGATTCTTCATATAAGTAATTATAAAAAAACTGAAAATGGTATATTTGCCTTTTCCAAATTTCTATTGACATCACGTCGCTCAATTGTTAAGCCTTCCCAGAATCTCTCCACTAACATTTGAAATTTATGGTACGGTATTAAAGTTCAAATTGACTTTTAAGTATTATTACGAATCGTTTGTATGGGAGTATAGAAAAGTGTTGTTTTTGGACATTTTCAGGCATTTTTTAAAACTTTTGTCTGTGTAAGAACCATCCTCGTACTTCAAGGAATATTTTAAAAAAAGAATTATCGAAATCGGTTCAGCTGTTCTCTAGGTTTGCGCTTAGCAACACATTCAGCGATTCATTTTTATATTATAGATGTTCGTTATATGCGTTGTTTTTTTATTACTTTTAATAATGCTAATTAACAGTAATTATTTTTTGTTATAAGAAATCAAAACATAAACAAGGCAAGGCCCCTTAAGATGCAGGCAGGCAAGAACCGCAAGTTATAAGTTAGGGTTTAGAGGATTTTCCGTTTTTAATTGCAGCGCCCCGTCTGGGGAAATATCTTCCATCTTACCGAAAACCTCAGTAAAATACTTACATGTTGTGAGTGACCATGAAAGTTGAAACTTTCATGGTCACTAACAATATAGTCATTATCATCAACAGCCTATTAATGCCTCCACTGCTGGGGCACAGGCCTTCCCTATGGATGGAATTGGGAGGTTAGGCCATGACCCACCACGCAAGCCCAGTGCGGATTGGCGGGTGGGTCATGGCCAAACAGTATAGTAATTTATGTTGGTAACGGGATTGTTACCATGTACCTTGTTTTTAGCGAGTTACTCCGATGATATTTCGGGCCTGTTGCTAGCGCCATGATCACGGAGTAACTGTCACAATCAGGCTTGAGGAGCTCGATGGCCCAGGTGGATAGCGCGTTCGGATTGTGATCTAGGAAGTAAAATAACTTTCGCAATGGTCGGTCATTGGATGGGTGACCAAAACTTATTATCTCGTGCTCCTCCATGCTTACACGTTAAGCCATTGGGTCCGGTGGCATCTGCAGCCGTTAGCACCCACCAATCTGTACTGGGCCCGCGTGGTGGGTCGCTGCCAATCCTATTCCATCCTTAGAGAAGGCCTATGCCCCAGCATTGGGGACTTATAGGCTGATGATGATCATGATGGCATGAGGAACATACCTTTCTCGCTTTTGTGGATATTTTAGACTTGACCAGCTCACTCCTTGTGCTTTCTATGAGGAGGTTCTCGTATTCCTTCTCTAAGTCTGTGAGCCTCTTCTTCTTGCTTTTTTTCTCATACTTGAGAAGGTCTAGCATTTTCCTCTGTTCTATCACTTTCAAATCTAGGTTGTGTATTATCTGGAAAAACCATATAAATGGGTAAATGGACAGTATAATAAGCGCGTGTCGGATTTCCGTAAAATTTTAAACGCAAAATTCTGTTGGTTGTAATAGGAAAAAAAAACCGGCCACGTGCATGTCGTGCCACACGTAGTGTAGTAGTGTGTAGTGTAGTAATAGGGGTCCGTAGTCTCCTGTCGTTACCATAATATAGTTAAGTACAAGTCTTTATTTTCTATATCGGAAATTAAAAAAAAAACAATAAATATCAAACTATGTATCTTAAATAGAATATCTTTATCAAAGTCAAACTTCGTCTCAAACTCAAAATCAATTTGATATTTTTTTTAATACGAATGATAACTGCCGATATTTCCACGTGCTTAAATATGTCACCTGAATATAATACACTACGTAAAGACGTTAATTAAATCTCTAAATATTGTTTTTAGATTTAGTTTTTAAGCTACAATAACTTCATCTATGTCACTATTAATGTTTTCTTCCAAGGAATTTTTAATAGGTAAGAAATTTTCTTTAACCGAAGTTAAACGACTATTACTCTTAAAGAAACAAATCTATCTTAACCGTCATAATTTTTTTTAAAAGTTCATGAAAAGCACTATTATCATGAATTTTTACATTTTTTTTCAAGCCACTTGCAAAACTCTTTGCACCTGGGGAACTACCCATAAAAAATCTTCTAAATTTTATTCTACCATTTTGTCGGCGTGATTGATATACATAATATCTCCACAAAATTACTGCACTCTAGTGCTAACAGTATTCAAGCAAAACCGGGGATGGACATGACAAAACTAGGATTCCTTGTCAGGACTACGGAACCCTAAAAAAAAAAGAATTTCGATAAAAGAAAAAGAGATTTATACATGTATTGGTAGTTGTCAGTAAAATAGACGTAATACTCAATTAGCGTTATAACAAAAGTTAAATAAAAATGGAACGAAATTTTGTAAAAGAAGCTCCAAAGTCAGCTTTTTGGCTTCTCGTTCCTTTGTTTAAAACAGAGGATACAGCATTGATATATTCAACGTAAATTAAGGAACAATAATATTTTACTTTTAAGCATTTCACTGCTAGGTGTTTAATCCCGTGTATCCCGTCTGAAACTTGGGACGCGTGGAAATTTTCTAGTAATATTTTCTTTAAATCTAAGTTACAACACCCTGAGGCTAAACTTTTTGTTTTCGCAGCGCAAAATTAGTAGTCTATCTTTTTACCTGGTTTTGAGGCTTATTGGTTATGGGGCAGACTTCGTTGAGATACTTCTTGATCTGCACCTCCTCGTCGCTGATCATCGCTTGCGCCTGCGTCAGCTCCGCCAGTCTCAGTCTTACTTCTTTCTTCAGAGTCTCGATCAGGGCATTGTAGTGATGTATCTATTCTTCTTTCATTACCTGGTCTTGTGTTTTGTTGGCTATGGGGCAGACTTCGTTCAGATACTTCTTGATCTGCACCTCCTCGTCGCTGATCATCGCTTGCGCCTGCGTCAGTTCCGCCAGTCTCAGTCTCACTTCTTTCTTCAGCGTCTCGATTAGGGCATTGTAGTGCTGTATCTATTCTTCTTTCATTACCTGGTCTTGTGTTTTGTTGGCTATGGGGCAGACTTCGTTCAGATACTTCTTGATCTGCGCCTCCTCATCGCTGATCACCGCCCGGGCCTGCGTCAGCTCCGCTAGCCTCAGTCTCACTTCTTTCTTCAGCGTCTCGATCAAGTCATTGTTGTGCTGTTTCTCAGCTTCGTTGACCTCGTAGCTGGATTTCCTTTGACCCTCTATTTGAAATCGGGTAATACAATTTAAGATGGCTGTGTCGTTACAGATCAGTGGTATAAAATCATCACCGTCATCAGCCTATTAATGTCCTCACTGCTGGGCACAGGCCTTCCCTATGGATGGAATAGGGAGATTGGGCCATGACCCACCACGCGGGCCCAGTACGGATTGGTGGGTGCTAACGACTGCAGATGCAGCCGCGATCAACGGCTTAACGTGCTTTCCGAAGCACGGAGGAGCTCAAGATAGTAAATTTTTGGTCACCCATCCAATGACCGACCACTGTGAAAGTTGCTTAACTTCAACAATCGCAGCTGAACGCGCTAACCACTTGCGCCATCGACCTTTTGAAATACTAATAGAAATTTATTTTTTCCTTTTATAGATATATTCCGATTAAATTAAAGTTCACTAATTTACTATGCAAAAAAAATGTGTTCCCCTTTTAAAAATGTTGTCTATTATTTTATTCTTTTGTATGTTCTCATAAAATATCCTCGAAATCGGTTCAGTTATTATATGTTCAGATGTTTATAAAAATATTAAAATCCTCCCTCCTTCATTTGGATTTGGGGGGAGGAGCAGTCCCACATAACCCCGTCTCTCACCCAGAGGCGAGGTATGCATTCATGCATTTTCCCAACATTAAAAGGGTCAATAGTTATTGAGAGCCAAAAAATCAAAACAACCCATACCAAAAGAAAGTAAACACATTAAAACAGAAAAAATACGGGCCGAGGTCTGGAAGAATGGAGGGGGGAAAACGGTTTATCGCTATTTTCGGGAAAACTACAACTCCTATCGAAAGAAATTTATTGGCAAAATTGTAAGTAAACAGAATATCTTTAACTTTTGCATTTTAACGTTTTTCAGATAAATTTATATCGGCAGAAAGTCACGACTTCATTATTTTTTATTAGTATCTCTAACAAAAAACTTTATTTTTTCACGAAATTTGTTAAAATTTTACCTTTTTATATCTCAAACACCGTTTTTATCTAAATTTTTTGATAGAAAGTTTTATTTTTACTTCTTATTTTGATATTATTTCGAAAAAGTAACCTTATTTTTTATATTTTTTTATTTTAAGCAAGCAAGCCCGTCTGGTGCCAGGTCCACATGGATTTTTTTCTAGTCATATTTTCTTTAGATTTAAACCTTATTTTTATTCGAATAACCTCTCGTCAAAAGAGTTGCTTCTCACAAAATTTGGTGTGCTTTTTGTTCTTTAGAACCTTTACATGCTAATAGCACACAAAAAACATGTATTACTACGGCAAATTCTAAAAAATTTGCAAATGCGGCGTCACAATTCTGGACCTTTAAAGGGAAAAAACGGTTTATGGCATTTTTTTGGAAAACAAGAACTCCTACCGAAAACAAAATATTAAATAATAGATCTACAATTTTTGTACTTTCTTATTTTTCAAATTACCAAAACTTTCTGCGAAATATAAACCACTTTTTGTTTTTTTTTATACAAAGTTACTAAAAAGTGTAAATCCTAAAGTTATAGATTTTTTCAATAATAGTTGTAGTTTTCCTGCAATTCGCGATAAGCGTGTTTGAAATATAAAAAGGTAAGCTTTCACCAAATTATCTTCAATAATAAAAAACCAAAATGTCGGTTATTTTAATGGCTCGCAGATATTTTTGATTATGTGAAAAAAGTGTTAATACAAAAGTTATAGATCTTTTGATTACCTACAATTTCGCTGTCTAATTTTTTTCGATAGGAGTTGTAGTTTTCCCGAGAGGTTCGTTTCTCATCCTTCCCGTAATTTATTTTTCCTCTTTTTCATTGTGGTCCCACCTTTTGGAATGGGTTTGAATTTGTTTTTTTTTTCTCTCTTTTTTGATTGGCATTCGCCCTGGGGGCCTACCTACCTAACCTACGGCGGTCAGAAATAACAAAATAAAATCGAAAGCGTTAGCGTTTTCCATAGCATTTCCTTTAGGCGAATGGCCCCCTGGCCTCTAAAATTTTCACAAGAAAAGAAAGCAGAAACTAAAGAACAACACATAATATAAACAATATATTTTAAAGTTTAAAAATTAACTAAATCACATTATTTTTTTATGATTGCGCATTTTTTTTTCTGTATTGTCAAAGAATGATAATGATGAAAGGATCAATTGCTTAAAAAGTGTCAATAATTTAGATCTCTTTAACTAAATGCTCGTACTCGTATGAGGAGTTCGATGGCGCGGGTGGTTAGCGCGTTCGGCTGCGATCGTTGAAGCTAAGCAACTTTCACAATGGTTGGTCATTGGATGGGTGACCAAAAATCTTCTATCTCGAGTTCGATCGTGCTTTGGAAGGCACGTTTAGGCGTTGGTCCCGACTGCATCTGCAGTCCTTCGTACCCGCCAATCCGCACTCTGGTAATGGCCCAATCTCCTTATTCCAGCCACAGGGAACGCCTGTGCCCCAGCAGTGGGGATATTAATAGGCTGTTGATGATGATGGCTGATAAAAGCAGTCATATTAATAATGTTTGTTTTTTTTAAAGTGAGTAACATAAAATGATTGTACCTATAACTATTTTATTTTGATCATGAAATGGAAGTGTACCCATAAAATTTGCAAGAATATACAGTACGAATAAATCATTATACTTTTCAAGATTCTGCTCACAAAATTTTATCTTTTGAAATATCAGTATACGATATTTCTACTTAATAAAGGTACTATATTTTCCTTATTAAAAAAAATACAAAAGTTCATAGTCAGACTACAAGTTCGCACTTTGTTTTAAGCTGTGGAGAAGAACTGAAATTTTAATGTAATAGTTTAATTGTTAATTTCGGATATCTGCAACTCTAGTTGAAGTATTTAAAGACAATATTCGAGTGAATATTTACAACAGCGAACCTGATAGTTGTATTTTCTTTTTGATCTCAAATATTTTGGTGTTTATAGTCGTGAGACGGTCTTCATTCTCGATCTCGAATGGATGTTTTTGGTAGCACGTCGCCATTGTTTATAAATTTGAAAGAACCCCTTTGAAAATAATCACTCCTCCATCATTGAGACTGGGCTTCGCAACGATCCTATCGATTAAACATTTCGTTTCGTTTCATTAAGTAAAAAAAAAGCTTTAAGAATCATAAATATTGTAATTAATAAATATTGTACCTATTACCAAATATGTATGATTTTAACATATTTGGTACAACATATAAATAAGTACAATATTTAGAAATAACTTTTTAGGCAAACATTCTTTTTATCGTAACGGTTTATTTATTTTAAAAACTTAGCGATTTAGCGAAATTTCTAGTTTTCAACATGTATTAAATTCAACAGATAGAAAATAGTCGTACAGTATTAAAATTATATAATATTATTAGCACAAGATTATTATTTTTTCACAGACATACAAAAGTATTTCAGTATATCTCACTCCATAAGCCCTCTTCTACCGTTTTTGCTAAATAATATTACATTTAACATCTCTTTGATAACTACTTTTGCAAATAATGTAGTACATATACTTAATTTTGTCGTTTTTTATATGCAAAGTTGCGAGTAAGTAAATATTTGTAAATATATACACGGACATACTTACACAGTCTGTGTACCGATAAAATTTGCAAGAAAAACGTTATAAAATTGTAAGGTCAACAAATCGAATTCACCCCTTTTGAAATAAAAGCTCTTATTTACGCCATCTATGCTGTGGTTGCTGAACTACAAAGCTCAAAGCTCTCTATTGGTTGCTGCGCGGGGAAGTGTTGAATTGCTTGATTTCTCCATTGAATCAACATTCCTGCGCGTACGTATATATGTGTGCGTGAATCAGTTCTCACGGTTGTTTAGCCAAAATTTGCTACAATCATGACTTAAATAAGTATTAATAAGGCAAATGTAGGTATTATCCTTCTTTTAAGTGTATCAAAAAGCTTTCGGTCGTACCTGAAGTACTGTTACAAGGGGATCGCACGCACACAGTCGCTCCAGCGGCCATTTTGATTTACTGTACGCTGTGTATTTACGAACAAAGCCGTCAGATGCGAGCGAGACGCGGCTGCGCATGTTTCTACCGGGCTTTACGTTTTTTTTGAACGTGTCTTACCGCTAAAATGACTAATTCCGCAATGCTTTCGACGTAACAGCAGTTCAAAAGACAAAATGAAGTGTAAGTTCTTACATTTAGTTCCGTGAGTGTTGATTATTGAGTGATCAAACGACACAGCAGAAGTATAACAAATGTGTGTGATCCATGTGTGAATGTTGTGCTACAAGATGTGGTCGAGAAACTTTATACCGGATTATGGGATTAAATTGCTGTCTGCCGCTGTTCTGCTGTGGACATTAGCAGCCAGGATCGACGGTGTCGAAGGTAAGGATAACTTTAAAGTTGTGAAGTGGAGCTTATGAAAGCGCGGCCAGTTGTTAAGCGTCCGCGGGAAAAAGTCACCGTAGCGCGGCGGGCGTTACGAGCTCGACGCCGTACGAATACCGGTCGGTTTACCTGAGTTCTCACACTCCTCGGTGACTTGTGAAACGAGCCTTTTAAAAACTGGAGTTATAGTCAACGCATCGCGTTTTTAATGTTTTTTAATTGTGGCGTGTTGTTGGTTGACGTTGAACTCGGTTCGCGAGAAAGACCGTTGGGTACATTTCATATTATCACATCGTCTCACCTTTCGCTCCATGTAGATTAATAGAACGGTCGTCGGTGTTATTACAGCCGATTGTGGTGTTTCAAGTAATAAAACTCATTCGTGGGCACATTTCCACGAACCAGTTTTGTGGAATCGTTATTTTATTTATTACTTACCTACTATTACAAGTCTGTTTCTCAGTTCATGTTAAAAATCTCACTTTGCAATTGAAATTATAGGTAAACTTTAAAAGTTGAGGTATTGCCGTCATAAATTTATGTTGTTTATATCATTTTGATCTTTCATTATCTCAGTACCATCATGGCGTAGTAGCCGTAGCTACCAATTGAATCATTCATGAGCTTAATCTCGGTGTAAGAGTGAATGCTATAAACTGTAAGCTTTGAAGTCTAATCTGAAAGTAAGAAATTGTCGCTGAAGTTACTCACAGAATCTGTTGTTAGCAAATTAGTATTTAGTGCTTAATTACACAGTTTAGAAAAAATCTTCACTCATCAAGAGATTAACGATAAAAACGCGTGGACTTTAGTAGTACCAGCTTTTGTACTTGTTGTTGTTACAACTTCTAACAAAAGTCATTTATTATTACTGCAGCAATAATGAGGAATTCAAATATCATTGGTGAAATTTTCTTTCGTAGGAATTGGAAAGTAAAAACAATAAACAAGTAAAACAAAGCAAATCAAACAAACAAACACAATCAATGCTGTATCTAAAACTCGGCTATAGTGTAAGTCCATATAAAACTAATACAATTATTCGGTTAGCATGTGTGGAAATTAGAAGTAATTTTAATAGAAAAGATAAATGTTTCCTATATGCATCGGGAAAACAATTCTGAACCCTCCCTAGAATACAGGTTGACCTAAACTAGGCGGTATAGAAAAAAATTGTTAACGTTGCTATTGTATTGTAATATGATATTGTTAAGCAAATTGTTTCTGTGCTGTTTTTGGACCATAAATTATTATTATTAGATTGGACGGCTACACCGCAAGATTGGGCTTGCACAGTCATATCTTTAAATCCCTATTTGTATTCCAAAAATTGTTCGTCTAACAGCACTGTCCATATAGGCATATTGTAGAATTGTAGATGCTATAAACCAAAGCGTTATAATCATATCCTAGATCTTTTGGATAGGCTGATTTAATTTCACCCGTAGTTCGCACGATGTGTTCTTTTAGGCTCATCTAGCTGAATATAAATCGACTAGCTCTGTATTTAGTATTCCCAGCGCCAAGACACGATTTCTGTGGTCGCGGCCACGGACTGGCTTTTTGAATATTGATCATGTACAATACGACATTATTTTATTCAGTTTTACTCGAGAGGAAGGGACCGAGTGCCACTAAATCTACATTTTTAGGGAAAGTTTTGTTGTTAAACAGTTGTGTGTATTCGTGGTTGGTGCGCGACGATTTTAAATGTGTTTGTTATGAGCTTCGGGTATTTATTTCTAAACAAAGCAAATAGTTTGGGTGTTGAGAAGATTACAGCTCTCTTCCAAAATAGGAAGGCACCTCAGCTAGACTCTTTTATTGCTATTGCCTTAAGAGAAAGTAGAAGCTTAATATTTTTAGCCATCGTAATGCTAATATTATGTCAGATCTAAGACCGAAATATTGTTCAAGTGTCGACGCTATTTTAGTATAGTATAGATAATAGAAAATAATGCCGCACATAGTATTATATTAAGTACTAAAGGATTTTTATTGTCAAAAATTAAACTTCACTTGTTTCCTTTTAGTATTCCTAATAAAATTAACATTAAATTTCACATTAATCTAAGTACGCTTGCATCATCGTAAACCAATTTTTTTTATATACACAAACATCAGATTAGATTCATGGCAAAATGTATGCGACATGTCTTACTGATGTAGTTTTAAACATGATATCATAATGCCTTTTAACACATAGTTTAGGACACAAAAGGTACTAATATGTCCATCTGATCAAATATTGTTTGAAGCCGTTAGCGGTTTCCGGCACTTTGTTAGAATATGCTGAGATAAGCGGTACTATCTCTGTACGCTGAATATTGACTTCGGGATATTTGGTCTTGACAACTTTTGAGTATATTTTCAACAGTAATTTATAACATTATTAAATGATGTTTTTAAATCGTTAACAAACGTTTACCGCAATATTGTTACATATTATCTCTAAATCACAATATTTAGCCACAAATGATGATACTTCGTTATCTAACATAAGGGTGAAATAACATGAATTTAACGTAATAAATTAGACCTTTCATGTATGTATTATATTTTTGATTGAAAGCTATTGTTTGCAAACCAATGTTTGATTGAAACGTATAGAAGAATCAAATAGAATTCTGTAGCAAAACATAAATGCAAGTAATAAAAACGGAAAAAGTTCTCAATGACTTGTGATGGACCTAATTGCTATCAATATACATCCTACCGGGAAACATTATCTTATTCTATTTATATTGCAACAGTAAAGAAAAATCTAAAGAATTTGTGAATTTTACTTTAGAATTTGTAACTAGCAAAATCCTATACAACAACATAGTCGAAAACCAACGTTCAATCTTATCGTATATTTTTATGAGTTTCGCACGAACGTCTCGATACTTCAAGAACTCGGTATCAGGCAGCGTCTATTTTCGACAGTACAATCTCGCATCCTAACATTCTTCGGACACGTTTCTCGGCGTAACAACCTATCCATAGAACGCCTTGTCGTCCAAGGAAAGGTGGAAGGTACTAGACCGCGCGGAAGGTCTCCCACGCGATGAACTGACCAGATCAAGTCAGCCGTTGGAGGTTCGCTAAACGAGTGCAGCAGGATGATCTCTAGCAGGCAGCAATGGCGAAACATAGTGAAGCGCATCACATCTGCCCCCTCCAATAATACTACAAGTGCATAGCGATCACGACCGCTCTGTCAAGAGCGTACCGGCTAAGAAGAGAAGAGAGATATTTTTATGTTCATTTCGTCTTTAAGTCTTCAATTGTCACCAAACGGTTTGAATGTTTTATAATCCCGTCAGTCTTTGTTGCCCAAACAGCCGTGCTCTACTTTTATAAACAGTGGCAATTAATGTTCAATTGTCCATCGGGCAATTGGCGAGCCGGGTCAGTGTCCACTAGTCATCGCGTATAAATCTCAACTAAACCCACTATAAGCAATTTCTCACTTGATTCCTCTATATGGACGTCTGCCGTTTCAAACATCAACAAGTTCGTTCGAAATGGTCCTTATAACTGGAGCGGGAGGTGATAGATTTGCATGCGTTTACGATACTTCTTATTTTGTATCAACTCAATCGGGTGTCGGCGACAAGAAATTGTTCTGAGAATCGCCGTTGCTGAGTCTCGGAACCATTGCATATTTCATCATTTTCGTTAAAAGAGCTACATAATGTGTCTTTGATTGATTGATTTACTTATTGTAAAAGCACTTAAACTGCTAATACTGTTTTATTTTTATCACTTCGAATTTACGATATTCACTTTAACGAAATAAAAAAAAATGATTGAAAGATCTATTACTAGTATTTGAGTTCAAGTATTCGGACCACACGTAACAAATACTTTACTGTGACTGTAATTTGTTAAGCATTTATCCTTTTTCGGCGTGCGGCGTCCATGAAACAGTTTGACCGGTCCAGTTTCAATATAACCTTTTAAGACGCTGCAATAAATAGTGATATTATTCGCAACTGTAGCTGTTAATACAGATACAGAGAGATACTGGTCTAGCAACAAATTATTAGTCATACTTTGAGCTTTAATATTGCACCAAGCATACAAATCGGTTTATAAAATGTTTACGGTTTCTTGATAACGTATCTTAGGTGATATACCTTGTCTAAGGCTTTAGTAATATTTTTTATTGAATGAGATACTTTTCAATGAACAGTGAATACATTTTCAAGACTATGTATGTTAACGTATGTAATTTTATTGAGTTAATTGAGCTTTTTTATGCCATATTCGACTAGCTTACTTTTTTATTAACACAAACAATGTTAATGAGAGTCAGTATAATTGCATAGTATTTTACAATTTTCACTTGCTTTGTGTCTGGATCACTGTAATTTTCTGGACTGTAAAATCATACAAGAGCTTGAAATTATCGAAATGATGTGTATCATAAAATCTTGATCGTATAAAAATCGCCCATGCACCGATTAAGTCTAATAAAAGTTTATGCGCTTCACTTGTGAGCTTTTCCTTTGCCAATTTCGTTTTTATTACGTGATTTATTAATAAAAACTAAATCGGTTTATTTGATCATATCCTACAAATTAAAATGTATTCATTGAAAAACACTAAAAGTAGGTACTGAGAATATAATGCGATCCAGCATATCCTTGGAAGTATTTTCAATGTTATAAAACGCTTTAGTGACAACCAGAGAGACTTGAGCTCCCTCCATCGCACTTGTCTGATCTGAGCATGCGGGAGCATTATGTAAAATAATTGTTTTGAGGTTTTTTTTACATCACCAGCCTGAGACAAACTAGCAGTTTTTATTACGCATTCGCCACAGTATTGTCTGGGAAATGTTAGTTTCTCATGCGAAAGTTGCCTATTGTATCTGTTTTTGTTTTAAGCATTGTAAATTAATGTACATTTGAAGAAGAATTCGAAGTTTGTTAAGATAGAGTACCTAATGATGATCTAGTCAGTGTGGGACGATACCAATATCGTTTTTAATGAAATCGATATTTGAA